GGATTATTCTATGTCGACATCGTAGTGACGTCCCTACATTTTTGGTGGATTTATAATGGGATTTGCGCTGCCATCCGCCTAGTTCCGATCTCTGCAGCAGCAGGCTTGAAACCCGACGGAAGGCGCGACAAGCCAAAGGTGCGCTTGGTTTTTGGTTGGTCAATGCTTGTATATGCTGTGTATAAATATAGATATATACACATCATTCTATATACTGTTATATGTATGTATAAGTATGATCTGCATTTAAGCGTCAAGAATTGTGTTTTGACTGCAAAAAGGAGGCCACGATAGATAGATCATGATGTGTATACATTATATATATACATACACAATTATACCGTCATATATAATCATATATATATATACACAATTATACCGTCATATATAATCATATATATATACACAATTATACTGTCATATATAATCATATATATATAATCTACAATCTATAAATGATTTGGTTGATCAAGTTGATCGTGCGTTTACCTTAAAACAAGTGGGCTAGAGCCCTAAGTGATGGCTGGTTGGTAATTGTAGCCTAGGTCCAATATCGCCAGATTTACTTAGATATTCACTAAACCATCAAAAACGGAAGGATCAAACGTGGGAATTTAGACATCAGCAATTGGTAATTCAATTTACCAACAAAAATATCCAGATGTAATTCAATCCATGCATATATGTATATACATATTACATATATATATATATGATTGTACTGGTTGCTTTTCGTGGTATGATTGTACGCCACCAAAGGAATCGGGCCAACCCAACTAGTAGAAAGGGATGATAGAAAGTGTTCGGCACTGAACCGCAACAAAAGACGTGGGTCTCTACAGAGGGTTTGCTGAAACTAACAGACCACCAAGATTGGAGGTTGACTGCTAAAATATGAACAAATGTGCGGGATCATGGTAGTTCGCCATTCTTTGAGTGGTTGTTGCATGTTTTTGCTAGCGGCTGGGAAACCGTACGTGCGTTTTTGCTTTTTCGGGTGGGGTGAGGTAATAACGTTCAGTCGCACTTGCACACTATGGTGATGCTACGCTACGAGATCGTCTCCAGCATTTGGGGTGGGGTGGGGTGCGGTAATAACGTTCAGTTGCACTTGCACACTATGGTGATGCTACGCATTTGTTGTGGCGCAGTATTCGTTTTTCCTTTTTTTGGGAGTCGTGACCATCACAATAAACCAAGAATGCCATAAAGTATACACTCTCGATTAAAGTTTATAACATGCGATCACCCCGCGGCAGGTTGGCACGATGTTCTGCACTTTTCGATGTTGCCCACCTTGCGGCTGCCGATCCTTTTGGTGCATAGAGTCCTCGTCTGCTGGCTTGCGAACTCTAAGGCTCCAAAGGTTGACAACATAGCCAAAGTCCTTGGCATCTCTGGGGCCATTGGCGGGTGCGCTCAGAGACTGGCAAGGAGATTGCCGGTGGCTGAGTCTGAGTGCGCCGTGAAAAACAAAAACAAAGAAAGTTGAGCGGAATCTTGGAGTGCGACGGCACGTCACTACGTTCATGGAAGGTAAGTGGAACACAAGGTCTTGCATATGTGCAGCTCTATGGTGTGATTGAACGCAATTCCAGAAAGGTGAACCTATATGACATTGGCATTGGCAATGCTCCAAATCTCAGGAAGCCCGGAAGCCCCCACCAGAGTCCTGGGCCAAAATTGCTCGTCATTCTTCCAGGACGTGGAGAAAAAGGATGCATGTGGAAAACCACCTGCCTCATTTCCGGTGGCGCCAAGGTTTATCCGAAGATTGCAAGATCGTTGAAGATTCTGATCCGGTCTGTGAACCATTCCAAAGGAGAATTCCAGCGAATGGATAGACTTCATGGTGCCAAACTCAGTGTGCATACCGGAGGGATCGATCAAGCATGGAAAGATTTGAAGCAGAACATTCCTCAAAGCACTGCAACTCGACAAGATGGCCCAAGGAACCCTCGGCTGTGGCAATACGCCACTCAATGGCAATGGCGCTGGGAGCACCATACTGTTGCCAACCTCAGCCGTGTCACCGCAGACACTCTTCGTGCGATGGGAAGATGTAAAAGAGCCGAAGACTGCAGATGATTTCTTTAAAAGTCTGAATGCGTCGTTCTTTTCCTATGGGAAAATGTAAAACCACCCAAAAACTTTACATCGTGCAGAAGCATGATTTGGAACATGGATGTTCAAAAGACGTGGTGGCCAGAACCGCACAACATGGACGAAAAAAAACATGTAATTGAGGACATAAACCATAAAGACGCAAATTCTCACGCTCAGAAAATGTTGCAAATACCAGCAAATGAAAAGAGGCACACACAGCTGGATTCAGAAAAAACATTAAAACGCACGCGCGGTAAACCATCCGCCAGGATGTTTTTGCTGACGGAATAGTGGTTGAACGATGTTGAACCCCTCTTCAGCACATGTTGAGATATTGAGCATGCCATGTTTTCATGTTTGCCCAGACATTCAAGAAACAAGCTGATGATTGATGGAGTTGATAAGTGAAATAAATAATCCTCTTGGGCCTTCTGGTTGCAGGACATTGATGTTGCTGGATGCTGCTGGGGTCGTACTTGCAATATCACAAACTTGAAATGGAGACCAATGGAGATTAGAATCGTTATGGTTTTAAATGAGCGATCCAAAATTTTCCCGGTTCATTTGCCGAAACAAGCCATTTGTGATCCACAGCTGGTACATGGCACCATGGTTTTTAAAGGTGATCACACTTCGATCGTGGTTTGTTTCACTCCAAGGGACAATTTATATAGAGGATTGCCTCTTAATATATATATATATATATGCGCGTGTGTGTGTGTGTACGTACGTAGCAATATTTATACGTATATCTATATCTTTCTCTTTCTATCTATCTATCTATCTGTCTATCTTTCTATCTATCTATCTATATGTCTATACAGAGTATATATATACATATGTATTGTATACATATGTATATATATATACAGATATATGTATATACACATGTGTATTTAAACATAACTATATGTTTTTAAATTTGTTTATATATATATATATATTTATTTATTTATACGTGTTTTTATTTATATACATATATATACATATATATATGTACATATGTACATGTTTTTTGGAAAATACTAGGCTTGTCTTTAGTTTTTCCTTCAAACCCAACCTCGCGCGTGGCAGCTTCAGGTGGCATGCAGCGTGGTGGAATGGCTGTGAGTTTGTTGGGGCCCTGGGGATCATTGCTGGGACCATTGGTGATTAATGAAAATGATGAAAATGGCGATTCAATGGTAATAATATTTCACATTGTGTTTTGATATTAATTGGAAATTATCTGTCTAATTGAATGGATTCTATCCAGTCCCGTTGATATGTTTTGATATGAATGGATATAGTTGCATAATATTTCATGATATTACATCATATCAGATCATACTTGATCACATGGCAAAATGTTACATGTTGTTTCGGATTCAGTTTCTACCTATTTACACACCCTCTTTACGACTCGCAAAACCCAGGGCGCCAGGTTCACAGAATGTCGTCCAATTCCGAGTGACCAATTGGCAATAAGGTAAACCCAATGCCATAAACCATCCCCAAAATCACATAATTTTTTGGGTGGAATTTCAACCCCCAAATGGTAGGTTTATTTTTTTGGTTAGAAACCAAATGTGGGAATAATGGTTTACCACAATATTTGTGGTTGCCCACGTACTGATTTATGTGACATTGAGCCATCCCCAAATGGTAGATGTCTGAATCTCTCAGATGGTTCAATATCATCTAAATCTGAGACGGCGGGCACGATTTGAGCTTTGCCGGAGCAAATATCACATCTAAATTATTCTAAAAGCACGTTTTAGCAGAGAAACAACAAAGCATCTCAAGATATCGCGACAAGTTGGGGACATAGGTCTAGTAGTTTCAGGTAGTTTCAACACAGTTTTCCCATATGATTAGAAAATAGATATAGACGTGTATGGAAACCTAAAGTGTGTCTGGAAATCATGGAAAGTCTCGAAAAGAGCTGACCTAGGCCTAACATCCGGAAAGCATCCTGAGCAGAGACTTAGAGACTTCGACGGCAGCGGCAAACGGACACTGATGTTTTTTGGAATTTGGGACTTCATATTGGAATCTAAACATATGATTTTTACCTGCAAAAATAAGGAATAGAAATGATGTTTTAACCAGGGAGAAGATAGAATTCGCATGAATTGGCCAACAAGAATTTGGCATCAACCAACAAGAATGGGGTTTGAAACAGGAAGAATAGGGAATCAAACATCAAAATGTTGATACAGTTGGTATATAACCAATGATTCGCATGATACATCCCACAAGAATTGGGGTACAACATGGGTACAGCCACTTACTGAGAAGGATGAGGATATCTAACCATGATTTGGGGAATATAATATGTGTGGTGACTTCAGAGATGTGTCATTTCTCATCCGTGAAGTTTGGATGATCTCATATGGGAAGAACGGCAGAAGCACCAGCCACTACCTTGAAAGTGCTCAATGCTCAGTAGGAACTTCTTCTGGTTGATGGTTTGGAACATGAATTTTATGACTTTCCATATATTGGGAATAATCATCCCGACTGACGAACTCATATTTTTCAGAGGGGTTGAAACCACCAACCATATTACATTTGCAAGATTCCTCACAGATTTCAGATTCCGTGATCTTTTTGTGTCCTAGACTGGATGGTTGATTGATCTCCCTCTTGCCCCTGGAAAGTCACACCGGTGCCTGTGTTCGCTTCTTCACGTCTCACAGCGTTGGCTGGTGGGTGCTTCAGGATATCTTAAAGATTCTTAAAGTCTTAAAGTGATGGGTATGAACCATACTAAACCATGCTAAATCATATTAAACCATATTAAAGCGTATTAAACCATGTGCTACCTGTGGATGGGTTAGCCACCCCTCATGGGTTCAGTCGTCAGCTCTATCGGAGCCAGAGCTTGACCAATGATCCGCCAGCTTCGCCGCATGCCGTGCCACCGTATCCCCCGTCACGAGCGACCAAAGATTCTGTCGCAACGCGACGCGACGCGAAGGAGAGCCGAAGAACGGCCAAAAAATGGGAAGGTGTCCGGTCACTTCTGGCCTCTGTTGGCTCTCAAAGATCTGTAGGGCACCTAATTGAAAGAGGCAGTACCAGAAATACCAAAAAAACGGTTTTGATTGGGCATTGTTTTCTGCGCCAAGCGCAAAGTTAATGATGGCATCTTATGATTGTTCTATCTTCTAAACTGCATCCACTACTGAAGTCTCTTCCCAAGCGTCTGAACGAAGACATATCTGATGAGTTCAGTTCACCACCTAACCATACCTTTTCGAGACTCTTCATGTGTGAACTGTGGGTCTAAGTTGGGCCATGGCCACCATGAGTTGGTCCTTGCCATGGCTAAAAATGGGCTGATCTTATCTGACCCCGATTGCCTCATGTTTTCCCCTTATGGTGGGTATGTTACCCAGCAGTGGGTCTTGGGGACGAGCTGTTGCGGTTCAAGGCGCTTTCCCCACCCCAAAAAGATCCAAAAAGGTGGTTCTGAAGGAAAACTCCCGCCTTCAAAGCTGAATTCTCTGAAGAACCTCTACTGGCACCTTTATTTCCTTTAAAAATTGTTAAATTTCTCGCAGCACAGCTGAACAAGGGGTTGATGATGATTGATGTGTTCTTGTGGTTTCTCCCGTTTCCCAACATGCCAATGACCAAAGGTTTCGGTGGGGCTTCCAACCACCAGCCCTTACCACAGCAGTAGCGATTCCAAGAACATGCTTTAGGGCCTCCCCAGCCGTACGGTGCCTCTCATGGAGCCGACGCCTGCGGGATGAGAGTGACTGGGCTACCTGGAAGCCCTTCAAAGTTGCTGTATATTTTCGGATGAGGAAATGGATGGCTAAGGGATGGCCAGGGTATTTGGTCATCCTGGAGGGTTTCACCTGCACTCATAGAAATTCAGAAGAAACATGAAGAAACCATGCCATAAACCATTGTTTTTTGAAGCCAAAACCTTGTCAGCAATGCCTGTAGGGAGGCCACCCTGGTTGATGAATGATTCTAGAACGTGGGAAACCCACCCCATCATAACTTTGGGATCTTTCAGATGTCGCTTTCAGCTGGGGTCCACGGAATGTGAGGAATGTGCAAAAGCCCAAAACAAGGTGAGACGGGTGCCTCTGGGATATGGGTGATAGGATCCGTATTGGTAAACCTTGGGGGGGGCGATGCGGCAAATTTCCTCGCCGAAAAATTGGGCATGTTTTGATGTTTCGGGAGCCCACGCTGAAGCCATCACCCAGTGATTTTCGTGCCCAGTTGCTCGTAGCTTTGTCCCCATTTTGGTTGGTTGAGACCCCCCACTTTCAATGTCTTTCAATAGTCAATACCCCTTGGTCATTGACTCAAATGTGGGGCTGAAGATAGGGTGCACCCAAAATCCACGGGTGTTGAAACATCGTATTTTCCATATCAAAAGGGCCACATGGCTATGGGTCTTGACCCCAAACGGTCCCCTATGGTTCATGCTCGCTTACAATAACTTACCATAACTTGCCATAACTTACCAAAACTTACCATAACTTGACATAACTTACCATAACTTAACATAACTTAACATAACTTGCCATAACTTGGCATAACTTACCATAACTTGGCATAACTTACCATAACTTACCATAACTTGCCACAACTTGCCAAAACTTACCATGACTTACCATAACTTACCATAACTTGCTATAACTTGCCATAACTTACCATAACTTACCATAACTTGCCACAACTTGCCAAAACTTACCATAACTTACCATAACTTGCCATAACTTGCTATAACTTGCCATAACTTACCATAACTTGCTATAACTTGCCATAACTTGCTATAACTTGCTATAACGTGCCATAACTTCCGATAACTTACCATAACTTGTCATAACTTGCCATAACTTACCTATTTCTAGCTTTTGATCTATCCCAAATGTTGGCTCAGCCTGGACAGGCCTCCTCTTTATCGCTTTTTGTGGAGCCCTCCTGCGACTTGGCGAAAGTGCCCGGAAAGGGCATGGATATTCATGGGGATGCAGCGTTGTTAATCTATGTTTAGACTATATATATTTATAATATTGTTTATGACATATATATTTAATATATAATATCTAAATGATATACAATAGAATATAATATTATATTGCATTCTATTTAATATTCTGTATATATTAAATTATATTATATATATAACCAGAAATTGGATGATATGTCCAACTATCGTCAGAAATTTGATGATGTTTTGGTGGATAGCTATGCCATGATGATTCGTGATGTTTGGATTCCCATGGCATGCGTGATGTCTCAAAAGGTTGGAACGCTCGACTTCCCATGGTGTATGATCTTTTATCGTCATGTTCCATCATGTTCCCTACCAGAATGAGCCAAAAATATCCAAAAACGGGGTATCCCGGGCATCCCCCAAGTCATGTGGATGTTGCTGTTTCTTGGCAAGAATAAGATGATCAAGCAGTCCAAGGGTAATCCAAAACAAATGCAGATCCGACATCTGGTCCTAAGATCTTAGTTCTACGGGCTGCTTATACCAATTTTGTTCCTGCCACGGATCTGCTCGGTGGTGTCCCATATCTTCTTGTTCTTATTTCCAGCTCGACAAATGGTATGATGATTTACTATGTATATATACAATATATATATATATTTACAATATATATATATATATAGTATATATATATTTACAATATATATATATACTATGTATATACTCTATATATATATACTATATATATATATATATACAATATATATTTACAATATATATATAGATAGATAGATATTTATATATATATACTATATATACTATATATATACACTATATATATATACTATATATATACACTATATATTTATATATATACCATATATATACATACAATTTATATATATATATATACAATACATATATTTATATACTATATATACATAATATATATATATACATATACAATACATATTTTTATATATACTGTATATATATTTGCTATGTACATACTATATACATATGTACTATATTTATATACTATATATATAATATATATACTATTTATTTACCATATATACCAAGAGAGTCACTTTAATATGTTTCAGGGGTGGCTCAACCAGCAGATGATCAAACCAACAACTAGGTTGCTTTACATCCCAAGTTTTGGCCAGGCCCAGGGTACCCCTCAAATCCACTGGTAGGAAATCATGTTCTGGGAATCAAAGTGGCAACGGATTTTCCCCCATGGCCCATAGGAAAAATCTACTCTTTTGTTAGATCATCTACAGTGTATGTATATAGAACATATGATAACATATGATAACATATGAAGATATGATCTTAATGTGTGTTCTACTACCATGTTTGATTCCCGCAGAGTATGCCTTTCTTGTTGTTTCCGTTTCAAAGACGGCATCCATCAGGTTGGTAGGGCTGTTCTTTATCGACCCATCCACTAGCAGGTGGCCGGGGGTGGAATTTCGGTGCCCAGATCTCCCGAAGAGGAAGGTGTGCAGATTGTTTCGGGACATAGGATTTATCATGATTTATTCCACTTTTGGTCAGTTTCATTGTGTTTATTCTTTATTGATGCCAATGTTAAGAACATTCCATTGCGACAAGCACACTTAGTATGCAAATGCAAAAGAACAATGCGTAGCGAAACATGATGATGCCGTGCAAATGTGAGAGATCATTGCGTTAATCAAAGAAAAGGTTCGGATGACCGTAACCTAAACTTGGTGAAAAAAATACAAAACAACCCTCAGTAACAGAACACTAACTGATCTATAATCTACAAGCGCACGAGAGCATGGCATACAAGGAGATCATTTGTGCGACAAATTTACCGGGCGACTGGTGCGCCCAGCAACCACCAACCAGTATACTGTTGGGGTGGGCAAACCATGGCAATAGAAAATATCCGCAAACTATGAGAAAACAAGTGCATCAAATGCATCAATCAGCAAAGGGTACTGCAATTTTGATGGCTAACAATCATTTTCCCCATTCATGGCTTGCCGTCTTGAAGCACATTCCATTTTCAGACACACCCAAAAAAATATCCAAAACTAACATAGCCATGGAAAATCACCATGTTTAGTGAATAAATTCTGAATAAGTCATCTATAAATAAACATGTTCATAGCTATATCAAGTAAGCAGAGGGTACAATCATAATCCCTCATATAGTTGGTTAGTTTATCCCATTATAGCCGTTTACATCTCCCAAAAATCACCGTAAACCCTCCATAAAATCACCGTTAGGGTTCAATCATAATCCCCTTTTTTAGCGTATCTTAGCTACCAATTGGTTGGATCATACCATATGAAATGTGATCTTGTAGGTAATCTCCGATGTGGAGAACGCCCCCTATTTCTAGATCATGTTTAGTTCAAACCATGGGTTTTTCCACATTTCACAGGCTTTACATCCCATGTTTCCATATGTTTCATCACCATTCTGGTGCAATCCCATCATTTTGGGGTTTCAACCACCGTCTCCCTGGACCCTTGCAGCAACCACGGCGGAAGCCTCACCTTACGCGGGGGCGACCGAGCTATGTGCGGAGCGCCTGGTGCTGGCGAATCGGGTGATTTTTTTGGAGAAAATGAAGGATCGATCTATATGGAAAATGAAGGAATTTTACAATGATTGCAGTATATATAGTGAAAATGATTTATAGTATAGTGGTTCTATACGGTTTTCTACTAGGATTTCATGTGGATCAACTATAGTATACCCTCTGATAATTTAATATTAAAAACGGCCATTCATATGTTGATTTAGCCATTCAACCTAGCCGTTTTCCATAGCTATGGTAAATTACCAGAGGGTAGTGGTTTTATACCAGGATGTTTTTTTCACGAACATGTGGGGATTGAGAGGATTGATAAATGATGATTGGTTTTGAAATAGGGAATTCGACTACCTGGTTTCATGGGGGTTCTGAACTATGGGAAACCTATCAATCAACTAGTATAATGAGGATTTAAAGAACAAAAATGCTAACAGTGATTTAACAGACAGAAATACACAGTCAATAAATATAAATGTAAATATAGATATATATATATATATAGATACAAATATATATATATATATTTACATATATATAGATACAAATATATATATATATAGATATATATATATCTAGATATATATATATAGAGAGAGAGAGGGAGAGATGGGATGGAGGAAAAACCACCCAGAATTTAGGATTTAACCAGAAAGACTTGGGATTCAACCATCAAGAGTCGGGGATTTCACAATGGAAAATCGGAAATCATAGGGGCCTCATAACAGCCGGCCCAAGTGAAAATGACCATCCTTGATGCTATTCGGAAATATACGTGAAGCTAAAACTGGAAGATTTACAGCTTCAAACTTGGAATCGGGGACTCATCCGCTACCAAGTGGGTAATGGTGATTTCAGCCAATCTCGACCATTATGGGCATGGGTATGGCTCAAAATACTCAGATGTGGGGTCTTTTCTTGATCTTTTCCGGCTGTTTGCTGCGTCATAGTTTGGAGATATCCTACTTTGACCCACAATAAACTATACCAAGACCAATTGAATCCAATTGATGCACGTTTAAGATTGAAATGTCTTCAGTGGGTGAGCCTTGTTTTTCTCATGTCCTGAACTTTGTTTGATAGTGTTTTGTCCCTCCACTCGAACCAGGAAGGTGATTCTAATTGGGTGGTTCAATGTAATGTTTCGGGCTTGTTGGCGCACGACAGCATTTTTGTTTAATCCACACCCCTTTGAAATGTCAAAAGCCATCAGAAAACATCGGCAGAAATCCAAGAAATTCAGAGATCACCTTCCAGTCTCGCAGGGCTAGGCTGATGAATATGTTTGGCCACGACCTGGCGCTCCAGGCTGGAGTTGGTTCTGGACAAATACAAAGTCCTCGCGAGGCTAGGAACATCCCGAACAGGCTCCGAAGAGGATCAGAAAAAAGAGCCTGACATGTTTCCCGATCACCTGGCGGAGACTTGGGGGACTTGACTAGTTGTGAGGGATTTTTGTCCTTACCAACTGCGATGGTCATCCTTTTGTTTCAGGAAAGGTTCCAAGAATCCACCCATTCAGAAGGCCTATTCTTGGGTACACATTTTGATTCATTTTGTTCATCTTGGTTGAAGAAGATAAATCTTGGATGTCCTTCCAGCAGTTGATTGTTTGGCAGGGAAGTTTATATAATTCAATGTATGACCCCCCATCCCTGATTTTACATAGCAATAGCGTATCAACCCAGATCTAGGGAAGGAACTGTGGAAGGGACTATGTCTAGCCATTCAGGATATCTTTAAACAAAATCTTGGTCTTAGATGGTCTTGGCCAATTTGGCCAAGTGGATTATAGTTCACCATGGCAGATCGGTGCAGAAGATTCATGACCGATGTTCGATGCCTGGCCGGGATTTTTCAGAATCGCAAATCATGGGATTCTGTGGGGATCTTTGATGTGACAACCAACCATCTAACACGTGGCTGTGTCCAAAAATGGGAAGACGGCTACCCCGAAAAATTGTGACCAGCTTAATGGGAAAATATGGTGACCAACCGGTGGATTTAGGGGCGCCCTAATTTCCGATAGCGATGGATCATAGTTGAGGGATCGCCCACGAAGCGCGGGACTGTAACTGAGCCTAGAGGTCCGGCCCCAGAAAATCAATGGTAAAGACATGGAGGTTTCCTGAAATGGTGGTACCCCTAAATCATCCATTCTAACGGGATTTTATAAACCATCCATTTTGGGGGTACCCCTATTTCTGGAAACCTCCATATCTAAAAATCCTTCTTCTGCAGCTCTTCATTTTGATCAAATTCAATACTAGAAAAGAGAATTCTGTGAACTTTTTGGGTCAAAACTGGATCTTCTTCGATTCAGGGCTCATCACTCCAAGAAACCCACAGCACGCAACTCCCGTTCATGCCTTCAACATAGAACGGGGAAATTCCCTCACTAGCTTAAAGCCAGCATTGGCAGCATCCTTTTAAGACTTAAAGGATTTTAAGGCATCATTACCTGGTAGTGCCTGTTTCAACCTTCTGATCTTTGGGCTCCATTGATGGCAGGGATTTGATCCTGAACAATGATTGACCACATTTTTTGTAGGAGCCTAGTGACCTAGTCTCTCATGAAAAACTACGAGAAACTCATGTCGGACCGTTTCCGCCACTCATCCCTTTCTTTTCGGACTTTGATTCACAATATTCCACCATCTTTGATTGGAAACCTCCATCCGAAAGAATTCCAATTCACGACTTTTCGAAGATCAGGTCAAATGATGTCAAATGTCTGTCCCTGGGTGACCGGTCTCCCTCCCAGCCCTGCAAGAATTCTGCGTCCGGCCCAACAAAACCCTTGAAAGTATCGACCTTTTGCAGACCGTCATTTTGTCGATGGAATACAAAGAAAGAACAGTCTGTTCACTTCTTGAAGCAAAACTGGATCATCGATTTTTTTGGTGGGCATGTTTTTGTTCATGTGATGATACTACAGAATTCTATTGATACTTGCTGCAAGTGAGCTCCATGAAGTCCGGCTTCTCTACAGGATTGGGCTCCGGGGTGGGGTGCCAGTTGTAACCAGCCAAAACCCCTTTTAGAAAAGTGCTCTCGGAACAAAAGATGGAGTTTAAGATGCCAACATGGGAAGCATCTCAAACGCAGGACCTAGTTGTGTACGTAGGCCAAAAAATTGGCGCTTCACAGAGGTCGGGGCCAAGTTTTGCAGAGAAAGGGCCTCGAACCCATGCATAAACTATGTAGGTGTTCATTCCGGGGCGGCCCCCTGCCACTTTATACCCTACAAAACTTGGATCCGACCTTTGCAATCGAGAAGTTCGTGTCTGCATTTAACGCAAACAAAAACGCAGCACCCGTCGCACATCAGCTGCACACTGGCGAGGTTCCGAAAACTTTCATCCAGGCACTTCACCCACAGTCGTGCCATGCGCCACGCCTTCAACGTGCTAACCTTCGAACTCAGATGGTCAAAGCCACTGACCAAACCCTTGGGTTTTCAGCTGGCTACCCCCTGTTTGCGATGCCGCTACAACCCAGGCGCCTTGGTCGCCTGCCAAATTCCCGCAATGCCATCAGGAATGTGACGCTGCGGGTGGAGAGCCTCGAGCCCCTTGGCTGCGGCCATGTTCGGGAAGGGAAGGTGCAAAACCTATGGGGACGCAATTGTCACCAAGGCAAGGATCAGTTAGTGAAGAATTTGACCGACAACCTAGTGGCAACAACTGATGTGCAATGCCTCAGTACACATAGTCCCACAGGTTGGGTGATTTCGCGCGGGAGGCGATTTTTCTTTGCTACGCTTGAATCCCAAACCAAGTTGATGCCAAATCCCAAATGTGCCACATTTTTAACAGTGCCAGCCATGTCCCATTTCACGTTCATGGCCCACACGTGTCGCGCAGTCATGTTTGAGAAACAACCCATGCTGAGGCGGGCAGTGCTAGACCTCCGCGAGGGGGCGCACAAGAGCCGTCACCGGCCGAAGCATGGGGACAACGGAGATCATGAACACCATGAGGAAGTTCCACATCATGGGGAAGTTCCACATCAGGAAGGGGACAAAGAAGGCCGGGATGAAGGATGGTCGATGCGATCTTAATTCCTGGCTGTTGTCAGGCAAGTCGGGCTTGACTTTGGCGGATGGTAGGTTTCACAATAGGTGCAACATCAACCATAAATCAAAGAATGTGATTTACAGAATATATTTTCAGAATTTCGGTGAGCTTTCATTTATTTCACCCCCAATCGCGAATTTCCACGTCATGTCCACCGAGAACTGGGCTGCTACTGGCAACGAATCTCGTCGGTGCCCGTTTGATCGGCAGTGGTAAGACTCGGCCACATTTTTGATGAAGTCACCGTTTCTGCCAGTAGTTCATCCATTTTTGCGGCATTTTGTTCCAACAAATGTCACCCTAGTTTACTTGATTCAGGCCCTTTAAAATTTGGGAGTTGCTTTAAAATGGAGGATCCCCAAGTCACCATTAGTTTCACTACGAAAATTGCCTAGTGGCTTGGATGATTTGGGGGTATCCCCATAGGAAACCTTCCATCCACAGGTGCGGCTGACAAAGACCCTGATGCCAACCTGCCCCCGGAGGCGACGGAATGCTACGGAAACTTTGGATGAACTATTAGATAGCGCAAGAACATGGAAGAACCATTTTTTCATTGGAATCCTCATTGTTCTGTTCTAGATATTTTGGTTCAAGGTTGTTCTGCCCTGGCTGGTGGTTCCAAAATTTGTTTATGTCCACTCCACTTGGAGATGGTGATCGCGAAATGACTAATATTGTTCAAGGGGGTTGAAACCACCAGCCACATTGGCAATGACAATGTTAGATAAACCTTTGTATTGCACCTATGTGCATAAGTATGCATAAAAATACTCGGTTGATGAATCATAGGAAATTTGTGGGTCAATTCCAATAATGAAACCCAATGGCTGAAGGTTTATCATTCCTCAGATGGCAAGAGCATGTGCGGTTTTATGATCAGGTTTTCACATAATGATACGGGTGCTTGCAGATTTTACACTTCGAAAGTCCTCAAGATGATTCGGGTGCAATTTTTAAGATGCTATATAGACTGATACTTGAAGATAAAAGAGTGATGACACCAGAATATCCAGATATCCTGGGTAAAATGAACCCAAACACACCTTTCCAGTTCAGACTGGGTCATTTGTGACTGGCAATCAGAAGGGCTGGGAACTCCATTTACATAACTGGTCCTGTGTGTGTTCAAGCCAACCATCGAGACCACCAACACAAAGGGAGAAAGGTTCTGCCACGAACCACCTAGAAGGTCTTGACACACCACGTCTCCATTCTGTGGCATTTCTGTGGGATGTCATCAGTCCCATTATGTCCAATTCACCAGTTACAGGATGCCCCCCAGTTTTAAGTTGCTTTGTAAACCCCATTAACTATAGTTATTTATAGTTATATCTACCATAAACCGTAGTTAAGCGACTCATAAGGCAACTTAGCTAGCTTGGGAGCCCCATGGTGTAGTAGCTCATTGGATTACAATTCATAGCCGCAAGACGGAGTCCCCATAAACCGTCTCTTTACCAATGGGCGGGTCTCGTGTCGCAACGCACCAGGAAGCTCCTGCAGAGGCAAGGGCGAAGTGGGGTTTGTCTTTGCAGAGTCTTGAATGCGGGCATGGGTTTGAAAATGGGGTATACCTCCAATTTATAGCGATTTTGAGACAGGAAATGGTGATTAACCAGTAGATTTAGAGGTATTATTTTCGGACAAACTCGTTTGGTTCAAACGTATTGGCTTACGAAAATGGGTGATTGAATGAATTGAGACTAAAAGAGTCTGAAAATGATAAATTTTGTGGGTCTATGCGTGGTATATTTGTGTGCATAGCTACTTGTTTCAGATGTTTTTTGAATATGATGCGCTGGAAATTGGGTTGTTGCACATTCTGCCAGCGAAGCATGTTCATATTGTCACATTTGCGTCTATACATGGTTTACGCTTGGCGCATGTCCGGTTTATCTCTTTAAGAGATAAACAGGACATGCGCCAAGCGCAAAGTCTTTGGATTCAGAACATCGCCCATTCCCAACAATTCAGTGACATTTGACTGAGACGCATTTTACTATTGAACTGGTGCCACGGATGGATGACAGTTTCTTCAACCATAGGGGAAAATTCATCCGACACATCTCGCCCTCAGACTTCTTTGTCGGGTGGGGCCCCTTGGACCTTTCAGCCTAAGAGCTGATCAAATGGGTTTGTTTGAAAATCGGTTACCCCCAGCTCCACTGGTTAATCACCATGTTTAACCCAAAAAAAACGTTAAAATGGGTTAGATCCCCCATACTCAGACAAAGCATCAAATGATGGAGCATGACCGTCACTGCTTTGTTCTTGGATAAAATCCTGATTTTGCGTGGTTTGTACTCCTGTTTTCTGTTAAAATCTTCTCGTCACTGGCGTTAGTTCTATGAACTTTTCGAACTGCTCCCAGTTCGCTGGGCCGTTACATACCCGGCTTCGTTGATGAAAGTTTACTTGGCCAAGTTTCATTGTTTTGGCTCATGTTGGTTTTATCCACTAGTTTATTCGCTGTTTTACAGCAAACAAATATCTTCCCTTCGCAAATTCTACGCTGTGTGTTTTGCCCTGTTTGGTTGCATCAATCTCCATGTTTTGATCATGTCCTTTCACCCTGGTGGGTGAAACAAGAAGAACACCCCTTTTTTGGTTGCTCCAATCCGTATTTGTTTTAATCTCTTGCCGTAAAACCGCATTTTGGTTGATGTCAAAATACGATATGATTGGTGCGGAATCTCAAAAGAATCTCTGTGTTTGATGTTGTCCACCATGAATTCCATAGCCACCTTGTCATAGTTTGAGGCTCCTTTCCCCTTCGATGATGAACCTGAAGAGTGGGGACTCTCAGAGTGCTTTCATTGGGGCCTTTAAAAATACCCTTGCTGATTGATTGTCATAGGGGGTTTTACGGATTATAGTTGTTGGGGGGTGTAACTATAATTATTATGAGTAATTACCAATGATACTCATTATAGTTATAGATAGCAACCAGCATGAAATGAACCGTTTTGAACACAGCTCACTCAGGGACAAAGTGGCGTTGTGCCATTTGTCCGAAGTTGAAACTATACCAAAGGACTCCAACAAAATCCAATGAAGAACGGTGTTTTTAACCCCAGTCCCAGAAGCGTTGCTGACTAGCACGCATTAACCAACGTGAAAATACGTGAAACGGATAATGTGGTGGAGGCGGGATGACCAAGACAATCTTCCCCAACAATGATAACGGGATAGCGGGTCAGAATTCCACCTATGCAGGAAAAATCGAGCGAACAGAAGCTAGCAACGACTGAACAAGAAGAGAAGCTGGCAACGACTGAGGAGGAGCTTGCCCGCGCCTGAATCCAGCAGGGAATGTTGTTTTGCCACCGGCGCAGTGTTGTGCAGCTCCGATGTGGTAGGATGCTGAGGAGAGCACCAGCTCCGCTTGCCGCGTTGACGCTGGCCACGACAGCTAGTGGCAGGGCGGCTTTCCGGCGGAGTGACAATATGCCACTATGCCACGAAAAGAGATCTTGAGAGAGCATCTCTTTGAAAGTACATACGGTTTAGCAATGGCTCTCTACGCATTTTGTTAAGATAGACCAAGAATGGCCAAGATTTGTATCTGAGCATCTCGTTGGGGAAAAACACTTGCCCCTTAGTGATTTTGACCCCTCAAGAAATACTCCCCGGCGTTCGTGGTCTCAAGCCATCTTTTTTTAGGCCAGTAAAGCTTTCTTTCGGGTGAATTCGTGTTGCTTTTCCAGAATAATGGGTCTGCAACTATCCCATACAGTGGATGGAAGAAATCCTACACCACCTTCGATCTGGTGTAAGATTTCTTCCATCCACCGTATCATTGGTGGTCTCAAATGGTCTCAACCAAGCAACGGGGAAGATCACCAGGTCTTTGCGGGGAAACAGATGAACTGCTGGGTGGTGGTTTTTGATGCTCTTTTCCACCGTGCAAGCGGTAAAGGGAGCCAGTTATTGGATTGGTAGGGCCATGGCTTTCCTGAGAAGTTTCCCAAACAGTGCTTACCCAGTAGCTGGTAGCTCTTGGTGGATGGTTAAATCAGGATGAAGGGTTTGATAGGGATGTGACCCAATGTATATACCAGCAAAAAGGAAAACGCTTGGATTCACGACATGAAGAGAGATGAACAGAGATGCATAGAAATGAATAGGTCGAAAATATTGGTCATTGCTGCTTACTTTCCCAAGGAGAATCTGATTGTGGATGGGTTTCCTCTATTGCTTTCCTTAGGCTTAGACGAACCCTATAGCTGGGTAGAACGTCACAATTGCGATGTTTGAGTAAACCAAGTAACGAATGATGGGTGAAAATGGGTTGACTTAACTTTGGTGTTTTTAGATGTAGACATGCTTGACAAGTATCCTGAAAACGATGGTGTCTTCAGTAAGACAAGTCATGTTAGATGTTTTTTACATGATTTATATGTTAATGTGTTTTCTGTGTGATGTGTATGTGTTTTTTATGTGTGTTGTATTTGTTTTATATGTTGGAATTCTCTAGATGTTCTTTGTTTTATTGTCTAAGATTCGCCATTTTATCATTGATCCGTAGAAAAAAATCGGTCATCTCCATATTGCCAGGCCTTGGAGTTCACAGCTTGTTGTTCCAAGAAATATAGATAAACGAAGAAAAGATAGACGCAAAATTGATATAAGGCGTGTATAAACCATAAAAAGTCCATACTACATATATATGTGTGTATGTATGTATTAGTGTTGAGTAGTTTTGACTAGATACTATGATATGTTATGAGTTGTCACTGATTATAGAGTTGGGTTGAAATTCAGCAAGCAAAGGACAATGCTTTTGCAGCCGACAACACTGGGTAATGCAATTGGTTATTGGTTGATGTTGGTTGACTTTTTCAAGTATTGCCCATTCGCTTAAGATGTCTAGTTGACATCGGGTGAGCATTTGTCGTTATAACTGGTACAATTGAATACCCAAAATTGAGGGATTTCCATTGAGCAGGACGTTGATCTACTAAAACATTTCCAAGTTATCAGAGTCACCAAAGCCCCAAAAAGGACGGAAGAAGAGAGAGCCAAGAGACAGGAGGCGCAGTGGTGATGTTTTCCGACTTCCGATCGTGGTCCCAATTGACCACATGATATTAATGCCTAAGAAGGGGGGGTGAAAAACCATCAAACACAAACGAATGATTGTTTCTGATAAGGTTCTTGAGTTTCGTATCAAAATTGAGATTCATCAATGGGCATTGCGGCATCACTGTGGAGACTCAAATCCTGAATTCTTGCCACGAGAACTCATTTGACCGACATATTTGGTTGCAATTTGTTTCTGAGACACTACATCCGCTACATCCCCGATGCAAGTCCAATGCACGGATTCAAATTTACCACTATTTGGAAGGACTTGTGACTTGACTTGTCTTTTTTGGAAGTAATTGTAGGATAACAGGAAATGATCTAGTTTATCTAGTTGGTTACCCCCAACTGCTCCACAGTGATTTTCAATGATTTTCAATAACATTCTACCCGTGAAGCTTCGGTCATGTCCTGCTGATGCCCCACCTCTTGGGCCGTCTCCAGGCGGAAGAAAAGCTCCAAAAGGAGATGATTTTCTTCAATCAGAGCACCGGACAGTGCCCGGCGAACTGCGAAGTGGGGAAAACCCATGAAGCCCCAACGTTTTGGCTGGGCGAATTCTACTCCCGTTGTTTTTAATGATAAGTTCAATAGGGTAAATTGTTGGTTCACAACAGGATCAAGCGATTTTGGGGTGACTTTTGTTTTCAGACTGTGGGTTGAAGAGGCAACCAGAGATGTTGAACAGCAGCTGGGATGAAAGCTCAACAAACTTAGAGAAAAATCAATGAACTCCCTTTGCACCCAAAAAATCGTGTAGGTGAATATCTCACAAAGACAACTAGTCATGGATTTGAGTTTTAAAATAGGATACCCCAGAATCGTTTGATCTTGATCTTCCCCATTTGAATTTTGCATAGGTTGGGGGAAGATCCCTCCCCGAATCTCGTTAAACTGCTATATAAATTGGTTATATATATATATTCCCCCATCATCATCCATCATAATTCAATTCATTATAATCCGTTAAATTTCACTCTAATCCACTATAATCCATGATATCCCGAGTAAATTCCACCCAAAATAGGAGATTGTCTGTTGGACAGACCCATATCCTCTCAACAAGTTCCCCCAATGGGATGTTTTAGGTTGGTTGAATATTATTTTGATTAAGACGATGAACTGCTTCTATCAATCTTTGGGGAACCCTGTTTTCAGACAAGCCCATATCTAAACCCTACATCTCTATAAAATCTCCATGTTTAACCATCATTCTAAAGATGGTGACTCCATCTCTGGTCCAACACACATGTTGAACAATATCCCTTGGAACTGAGCTCCCCAGTCGCCTTTGTTGGCTCCATTCTTTGGTGGTCTAACTCACAATGTTTGTTCTTACATCACCATGTTGTTTGGAGAAAACCGGAATGTGTCTCGATAACATCCACGTTTTGAAGGCTTAAACTGCCGAGCTATTTTCGTAAACCCCGCTGTTGGTGAAAAAGTGCGTGTTCCTTGCGGGAGCATCCCCATTTTGATGGTGAAAATCCCTTTTTTTTCTTGACAAGTCTTCAAGTTTGGGTGATCATTCCTGAGTTCCACATCCTAATTGCCTCAGCCTCAGAATGCCAACCTCGGAAGAAACCATAGCCATAGCCCATTTTTTTTGACCATTTATCTAAATTACAATGGTCCGTGGTGATTGTCCATAAAAAAAACTTGTTCAATGACCATAGATTTATAGCTGAGATGCCCATATCTTCACATCAAGATATCTTAAAATATGGGTACCCCCAAATCATCATCCATTTTAGCGTTTTTCATTAACCATCCATCCGTTTTGGGGTACTGTGACCCAACACTCTGCATGTCGGATATGCTTACTGATTTGATATCACGGAACACATGTATAATTCTATCTTATATCCGCAGCTTTGAAGACCTCTAAACAACTGACTCGCAGATTTTCTGCCCACTTATCACAGCAGCAATGAATGTGCTGGCTAGTTGTATCTCAATCTACTCGCTGAAGGAACTGGAGGTATGCCATCGAGAGATTGTGCAGTGGTGAAGCCTAGCTTGGCAGAGGTCGCTGCCCGAGATTGCATGAACAAGCTATCATCGACAGTGCCATGAGGTTTGCAGATTGGTGCATGCTGATAAAAGAGGCGTAACCCTTATCCTTCTATCTTTGGCGAAGGAAGCTGGAACACCAGAATCATCAGCACAGCCTTGGTCGGAGAGGATTGAGGGAAGCATCACCACCTCACGGTGACGTTGACCCATACATGTCCCACATTGCTGGTTTCATCTTAATGCGCATTCGGTGGAACTACAAGGGTAATGAGTCGTTGGCAAAGGGCTCCATCGCTTGCAAACCCACATCTATTCTCATATATTGTCATATATGTTCATATATGTTTCCAGTAAAGCCCTCAATATTTCCCATTCAAACCTCAATTTTTCCCCATTCAAAGCTCCATTTTTCGGGATGTGCCAAGCTCCTGGGATCGTAGGTACCTGCGCTACCGCACTGACTCCAAGTGTGGCAGCCAGGTGCCACCTCTGCCAGATGGTGAGGCCGGAAGATGGTGATGACATCCATCCCAAGCGTGTGGCGTTTGGCATACAAAAATCTTCAATCTACCCTCTGCTAAACTGGTAAACTAACATAGCTGTTGAAAATTGCCATATATAGTGAATTTACCCATTAAAAAAAAAGTGATTTTCCATAGTTATGTTAGCTTACCAGAGGGTAACCATAGAGGAAGTGGATTTGGGGGGTTCCATTGCTTTCCATAGTCATGAGGGTACCCCTGTAGTTCTTGATGGTTTAGAATGGAAAACACCAGTGAAATAAGTGATAAAATTGGGTACACCCCTTTCAGGACAGCTCCATTGAACCATCAAAAAATGATTCAGCCATAGAAAGGGATAGATTTAACCCTCAAAAAATTGATTTCATTAGATTTAACCATAGAAAGAAGTCGATTCAACCATCAAAAACGGGATTTAACATTGAAAATGTGATTTATGCATTGAACAAAATAGGATTGAAGCATGAAAAAATGTAGAAACCAAACACAGCTGGCCAGGATATATCCGAACTAAATAGGCATTTAAATGGCAAATTCCTCTAGTGATTGGGATTTTTCCATGGCTAGGTGAGACTACCAGATGGAAATTTCGTCCTCAATAGTCTGTGATAAAGTTGTTTACAGTATATGGACTCATGGGGATCCATGAATATAACTTAAACATATGCATCCTTTCCTGAGATAAAGCCTCAACTAATCCCTTCCTCCAGTCTCAATTCATAGTCAGAAGTCAGAAGTTACTTTTTCGTAATGCGATATTCTGGGATATAGTCCGATATGCTCAGCAAATCCATGTTTATATGCGATCCACGGTGATATAGGAAAACCATGAGGGGGCTAATTAAAAGAAAAAATAGTATGGGTAAAGCCAATAATAAATCACAAATTGGGGATGATTTATCATTGTGGATCTAAAATTCCCCAGAGAACGCGAAAATCGCATTGGGTCCATACCATTGAAAGGAATTTGACGAACAGTCAAGGGGGATGGCTAGGGATGAGATTTGTATGGTAGACCCAATAACAAACAATCCAGAGCAAACCCAGACCAGGTGCATATACCAATACAAACCAACAGCAATAGAATCAACTAGCAGTGTGGTAGTATACACGTAGTGTCAATGGGTGAGCTTTTGATCTTACCTTTCGCTTCTTCTTTGCGACCAAGAAGGCGCCCATATGGTGCGAGGTCTGCAGGGTGAAGCGCAGCAATATGATCGCTGATGGCCTTAGCGGCCACATGTTCCTTTGTGAAAACCATAGCCTTGAACGGGGCACAGAAGGGAAAGAGAAACCAACACGACCGCCATGGCTCTCATCTTTCCGGCGCCAACAGGTCGATCAGGTCGGACCGAGTCAGCAGTAAGGCAACGACGTAGTAGACAGGCAGCCGCCTGAACAGTGTGCTTCCGCAGATCAGGGTCCATACGTGGGAGGGGGACGCGCGACTACCGCAATCCAAGGGCGGGTATGTTTACACAAAAAACGATGCGAAGATTCGTCGAGGCTGTCACGTGGTATCTCACACGGATGGGCAGGAGATTGTTTCCACAGCTGCACAACAGATGTTCAACGTAGGGAAAAGAATTTGCAGGAACGCTTGGCGGAAATGGATGGAATGGGGTTTTCATTTCGTCATGCTTGGGAAATATTGAATCTTTTGAGAATGCCCAAAAGGCCTAAAATGAATAGAAACCATAAAGATTTAAATCCATTATTGCTAGTCAAACATGGCCGGAAAATCCCTCTTTTGTAGATGATTTTTCCATGTCAAGGCCCCACTTCCAGGATTTCCCAGCTTTTCTGGTCAAGCCTTTGGCTGGGTAACGCCTCAGGATTTTCCGTGCCTAGCACTATCCCGGTGACATCTACGAATCCGTGATCCCATAGCTCCAAGATAAAATGTTTGTGAAGATAAAGATACTTACTAAAATACATATGAACTATGTTTGAAATACGTGTTACTTGTTATACAAGTTCCTAGAAATCCATCCTGAAAAAGTGAAAATCCCTCGCCCGTCCCCCGGGACCTTTCTGGCCCAGCTGTAGCCACCGCCCGGCCCCGGTGGGTGAAGCAACGATGGCGTGGACGTCGCCGGTTCCTTGTGAGGATGGGGCAAGTACAGAGGCTTCAGAGTCTCGGTAGAGCTTTTTTGTTGTTTCATCAGGTTTAACCATGAAAATGGAAATCTAACCATGAAAAATTGTGTATGTAACCATGAAAAATTGTGTATTTAATCATGAAAATGGTGATTTAACCGTGGCACATAGGGGATTTAACATGATTTAACGCAGAAAAATGATGGTTTTTGATGGGATATAATAGGGATATGGCGGGGATGTTTCATGGGGATATCGGCTGTGTTGGAGAATTTATTCTTGATCGATGGAATTCAACCATCAACAATAGGGATTGAATGGGATTTTTGGGCCTGTGGATATAATGGGACATAAAACCCATATAAGATATGTCCCTTTCTATAAGGGGACATACAACACATATCCCATGTATATGAAAGGACATATAAAGGGACATATTTACTTGGGGTATTTACTGGGTGTGTAGCGGCATACCCCAAGTTTTTGCAACGTTCGCACAGGAAACACGCTCGAGCTCTCTAAAACCTGTGGAAAACCATGGTGTTTCCTGTGGTCCCTTTCGTCATCCCAACTTTGTAGGAAACCCCCATACGAAAATGTTGTATTCAGTGGATTTAAGTTGTTTTTTTGCACGAATGCCCCATATGAGATGGGAAAAACCCATGGTTTCCAGTTACCATCTGGTTATTTAACATAGCCATGGAAAATCCCTTATAAATGGAGGTTTTAGTGGGAAATCATCCATAAATGGGCCATTTTCCATGGCTATGTTAAATAACCAGAGGGTAATTCTTTTCTTACAACCAATCCACTGATGTATGGTCGTTTTCTTGCCATTGCTTCCTCCCCATGTCCAAGATGTCAGGATGGCCTTCCTTCGCTGCTCGTCACGGTGGCGTTGCTCAGCGGCCGAAGTGCCACTGTTCGGGTGAAGAGCAACAGCTACGTGCACGAGCTGAGGCCAGCGCGCTGATCCACTGGTGAAGGGATGTGGAAAATGGCCCATTGATGGGTGATTTACCTACTCATGGTGATTTGGAAATAGTTATGTTCGTTTACCAGAGGGTATGTCGGTTGGATATGGATCGAAGATGATCCATATATATATATGTATGTATGTATGTATATATATATGTATATATATATGTATATATATATATGTATATATATATGTATATATATATATATATGTATGTGCGTGTGTGTCTGAATGCCCTAAATCTGCTAGATTCCACAAACTTAAAACGATTAGAAATATGAACAAAATATAATTTGAAAATGTAACTTTTGATGTGAATTGAAAACAAATATAAGAAACGCAAATCTGAAAATGCAACTGCTCATGAGAATTGAAAAAATGTAAAAAAATGTAAACCTAAAAATGTGACAATGTCAATCTGAGCAAAAAAAGCAATTGTAAGTCTCAAAAAATCAATAAATACGGAAAAATGAAAATTGCATGTTGCATGTTCCAAAATTGCGATTTGCCAGGCGCATACTTTACACATTTTTTTAGTTGTGGTGTGACATGTGAATAGCCGTAGGGCATCCCTCTTATCATCCCTTGTATCTACCTAGTCTTGCCAAGTGTGAAGAACTCATTTTGGCTTCGCCACCTTTACTTTTGGCTCAAGCACTGCGGTAAAAGTTAGCTGTTTGCGCTTGGTATCGTAAAACCCCCTACTTGGCTGCAGTTTTGGGTCCGCCAGACGGCCTTGATTTTGGGCCCGCGCGCTGTGTCCAAAAACTACTTTTTTAATTGTGTCCCTTCCAACAAAGCAGCGGCCGCCAAGCTGAGAACTTCGCAAAGGTGCCGGCTTGGGTAGAAGCCACTTAATTTGAATGCAAGATCACTCAAGCCAAAAAAAGTTTTCTTCCAACAACCGATACCTTTTTGCACAACCCCAACTTTTTAAAGCATTTTTCAACAATCGATTGGGAAACGCCTGGAGACGAGCAATAACGTTTGGAATAACGACGGAATAGCGACTGGAATAACGATTGAATACAACTGAATAACGACTGGGAACGTCTTGGAAAAAGTTCTCAATGCTTTGCATCGGCAGAATCACACAGTTCTGCACATATTTTGGTCACTGCGGTGCCTCAGGTGGGCTTGCTTGAGGTGCAGACCTCCATCCAGCTACAGAAGGCGCAAAAGAAATACACGTATCACTCTTACGCAAGCGCCAACAGCACCTGCTTTGCACTGGCAGAAGCACGGTCCAGATATGCCTCTGGGCATCCAATTTCGCATATCAGCGTCCCCGAATTTTGGTCCATAAAACTATTGTCAAACTGGCGCCGTTGGTATGTGGCCTCCTCAGTATGTCAAGCTGCCAACCTTAATTTTAACTGCCCTAGTCACCTGCGAGATCATTGCGCTCTGGAGGTTGATTTCGATGGTGAGAAGCTTGACTTGGTCCAGGTTGTCCTCCTCACCTATTTTTTTTGCTCGGGGTTTGGCCGATATGCTCTGTGGCACGGTCCTTTGAACAAGAGACAAGCAGAAAACGAATTGGCAGCAAGCTGATGCGCAGCAGAACTACTATAGAGGCCCCGCATTGGCGGCACCGATTTTCAGCAAAACTACGGACCCAAAACTTGGTCCGCGAAGCCATGATTTTTTCCTCGTAGAACACCCCCGCCCCCATTTCAATGCTGCCAACAACAGCCGGGCGATGCAAGCAAAAGACTTCTCCCAAAAAAAAAGGAAGAATACTTTCTAAGCCTTTGCGGCGAAATAAACAAGCTTCGGTGGTATCCCAAACAGCCGTAACGTTGTATTTTAACAAATCTTTCTAAAGCGTGCTGCGAAGCCAAGCGCTGGAAACACTTCAGCTAGGTTTCCGCGAATGAAATGGCCGCAAATCCTGTTGAACCTGACCTGGCTCTGCACCAAAGCCTCCCAGACCTTCTCCGGAACCTTCTCCGGAACCTTCTCCGGAACCTTCTCCGGAACCTTCTCCGGAACCCTCTGGAGCCTTCTCCGGAACCCTGTTGAACCTGACCTGGCTCTGCGCAAAAGCCTTCCAGACCTTCAGCAGAACCTTCTCCAGAACCTTCTCCGGAACCCTGTTGAACTTGACCTGGGTCTGCACAACCTTCTCTGGAACCCTGTTGGACCTGACCTGGCTTTGCACCAAAGCCTCCCAGACCTTCTCCGGAACCTTCTCCGGAACCCTGTTGAACCTGACCTGGCTTTGCACCAAAGCCTCCCAGACCTTCACCGGAACCTTCTCCGGAACCCTGTTGAACCTGACCTGGCTCTGCACAAAACCCTCCCAGACCTTCTCCGGAACCTTCTCCGGAACCCTGTTGAACGTGACCTGGCTCTGCGACTCTGCACCAAAGCCTCTCAGACCTTCTCCGGAACCTTCGGGCCCTTTTCCGGAACCTGGGCTGAAGACCCCATTAGCTTACGCTGTTGGGGAAAAATGTAAATTCAAAAAGTTACATTGCGATTTCCCTTTCTTACCCCCTAAAAAAAGTGAAGTGAAAAAGTTGCAGTTTGTTTTTTTAACAGGGTGTGCCGTTATTTGTTTGAATTTTACTTTTCCTATATTTTTTAAATTTACTTTTTTGATAGAGTATAGACTGTGGCTATTTGGTTTTTTTCAGATATACGCTATATGTGAAATTGTGATAAATATATATATATATATACATATTGATTTATGGGTACACCGACTGGTGATTGGTAATTAAGCACACCTTCATGTTTTGTCATTTTGATCCGGATATCTACTCAGCTATGATTTGATTTGTTTGGCGGGGTATCAAAGATTTGGCCTTTCGCTTATCAGGCATAATTCAACGGAATTCAACGGATTACGTAATAAACCCCTGAAGGGGTACTGTCTTGGCGATTTGAATAACACATGACATCACTTGTTGGAGCGAACCCACTTGATCACCAACTTTGACATTCGATAAGAGATGGTTTTCATTACGGCCGATCCACAAATGACTAGTTTGTAATCAGGTAGTGCTAACTTGGTAATTAGATAAGTACGTCCTTATAATAAACATGGCGCCTGAAATCATGACCATTCATGAGCCGCTGACATGATCATAAACTGACCTTAGTCAGTCAAATTTGCAGGAGGAACTCAAAGCCTCATGTCGATGCCATATTGTAAATCCAATCTTGGGAAAATCATGCGAGATGGCTGAGACATATCCCTTTGGCAATCATCTGAACTGGTTTGCAGGAACATCCATGTGTTTATAGACATGATGTTCCCTGTAAAGACGTGGAGCTTCCAGGTATATTATCCTTGACATGGGTGTGTCTGAAAATGACACAACCCAAATAGCCATATCAATCACCGCAGGCGCAAAGCAGAAGATGAGCTCAAGGCACCTGCCAATTTTGGGGGATTTCCCAACCATGTTTGAGGACACCTGAGATGTTGAATCCAGACTTTGGCGCTGTCACCTTGGATTTGGCAGCTGATAGAAAAACCTTCGGAATGGTCACAGAAGGGGGAAGGTTTTTGGCATTTTTTGTATAGGTAGAATACATATATATATAACATATTATAATATATATATATACATACATACATACATACAGACAGACAGACAGACATACACGTACACGTACACGTATACATTTACATGTGAATTTGCATATAAATATACATATACGTATACATATACATACACATACATACATACATACATCCGTACATCCGTACATCCCTACATCCCTACATCCATACATCCATACATCCATACATCCATACATCCATACATCCATACATCCATACATCCATACATCCATACATCCATACATCCATACGTCCATACGTCCATACGTCCATACGTCCATACGTCCACGTCCACATCCACATCCACATCCACATCCACATCCACATCCACATCTACATCTACATACATACATACATACATACAAAATCTCATCTAACCTAATCTAATCTGATCTGAGCTGATCTAATCTAATCTAATCTAATCCATACCTACATACATACATACATACACACACACATACATACATACATACATACATACATGCATACATACATACATACATACAAAATCTCATCTAACCTAATCTAATCTGATCAGAGCTGATCTAATCTGATCCAATCTAATCTAATCTCATCTCATCTCATCTAATCTATCTATGTACACATATATATATATACATCATAGGTCATGAGCCACGTCTACAGAAATCTCTAGAACACAAATCCAAGAGTACACAACTCGAGCTGGACGCTGCTCAAATGCCAAGAGTGTGGGTTTCCGCAATGATGGGCCTCTACCAATTCTACCCATGCACGTATCACAGGTAAGGTTTGATACCATATGTTTATACAACTGAGGTGTAGAATTGGGTACCCAAAATTCAACAACCAAATCCTCAACACTTCCAGTTAGTTGTCTCCTTGTATAACTGGAATTCTAGAAGTCATAACTACCAAAGGTTAACCTCAAAGATGGGGGTTGATTGCTGGGATCTTGAAGTTCCGCAAGAAATAGATGAGGTTTGTCGAGAATTTGCGGGAAAATTGATGCCATCCCTGATGGGTTTTCCGGCCATCGCGGCCAGGTTCCCTTGAAGTCTATGGTCCATGGGAGAGACAGCACCGTGTTGCGCCTTGGCGATTTGCGGCTTAGCGGCTAAGCCAACTTGGGGCACTGAAGCATCGGAAAATCATGAGAAAAACACAGGAGGAAAAGCATAGGAAAAGCATGAAAAGACACAGGGTCGGAGATCCAACCTGCTTAAGTCATGGGTTGGAAAATGGATGAAAATGAACTAACCCAAATTGGTCCTCTGCGGAAGGGGAAAATGATGATCATCAAGTTTGAGACATCCCATTTTCAGACAAACCCATATGAATGCCGTATGACGGAAGTAATGCGATCCTGAGGTACAGTGGCGTGACACAGTATGACCCAAGTATGACCAGATGCCCCGGCAGAATGCCACAGCTATGATTTGTTTCAACCTCTTGGCTCTTAGATGTTGAAAACATGAAATTGTACTGTTTGTTCGCATCTGGTTTTTCTGCTGCAGGGTTTTTGGTACCTCCTTTCATCCTCCCTGCGTCAAACGTTTATCCGAGACTCCCCTTGCAATGGCAACGACAGAAGAAGCTTTGGTAATGCAAAACCAGTGGTGGCATGGCTCATCCTGACCTTTCTGTTCTTGACAAGTGAGTTTTATTTAACCTCATAACAATCCATGCCTAGATTTACCCTTACTAATCAGCTCCCACCTCAATTCTCTTCAGCACGAGGATTTGTCTGAATAGGGGACCCTGACCCCTAAATTTAACGGAATTAAAACTTCTTTGTCACGATAGAATTTTATTTTGGACCCAAGTTGCCTTGGAATGAAGAACAACATTTTTCTCAGCTTATGACTTGGGTGGCGTTGCAATCAGCTCAGTTGCTTTCTATTGGAGTCACTATCCTCTATGGATCTTTTTACGACCCGCATAAACTGAACCTCATGTTTCTCCTCTTTTTTGCGCTTCATTTAAACCAACCAACTGAGAAATCAGGGTTTTTCCCCCAGCAAGCCGCCAAAAGATCGAGTTTAGAGATCCAATTCCAAGAATTCATAAATTTAACATAAGTTTGACCATTTTTCATCATTTTTCCATATTTTGCCCAACCTTCACCACCTTTAACCACCTTCAACCACTGTAGCACTTCACTTCAGAGGCGAAATTCCTGGACCATCGCAGCCCACCTCTCGGACGGCGACCTGGTGGCAGCCACCGTGGACAGCCAGCGACAAGTGCCCCGAGGGCCACGGCATCTGCGCGCCTTCGTGTGTCTCAGGGAGGACGGCGCCCTGGAGCGATGGTTGGGGGGTTCGGAAAGCCAGATGGATGGGGAAATAGGGTGAAATGCATGATGAAAATCCACTTGAAATATCTTTGCACATGTGTTTGGTGTTTCATGTTTTTGTTCTGTGAGTTACTATAAGTACTCCTGGAAATACTTCTTACATGTGCATGTGTATGTTTTTCGCATTCAATGTCCATTTTATCATCAGCGAGGGTGAGAGATGGCTTTTCTCGTGTCAGCCGTGAATCTTGGGAAACAACCCCCCACGCGTGAATGGAATTGTCCTTACGATTTACTGAAATTTATATATTAGTATGGTTGGTCGCTTCAAACCTTTTTCACGTAAAACATAAAACATAAAAGATAAGATGAATTAAGATGATACTTTTGGGAATTTGTGGGGGCCCTTTGCTCCTCAATGATGATGCCATACACATTTTTCGTCTCCCCAAACCTGACCTGACAAAATGAAGTTCCACGCGGTAAGCCTTGGCGAATGGCAGAGTGGCATGATTTCTTGTCATGTTGGAGGGATATCTAAGGTTGGCGATCATAGTAGATGTCCTTGGTTTTCCAAGTTGATTCCAAAAATATAGAAAGAGAGATTTATGATGGATATCCAGATACGAACCAACAAACAGTGGAACGGGATATCCAATATTAACCATAACAAAGATGTCGTCGGTTCTTTTTCCACTGCTTGATACAAAAATCTTACAAAACCCGCTGGAAGATCGTTGAATATCACCATGATGACGCTGATGTGTAAATTTATCCTTGATTTAAAAAAGGGGGGTTTCCCAGTCAATGTCGCATTATATTCCCATTATGGTTCAAATCCCATCCGACCATTGATCATGCAAACAAAACTCAGAGGTTTATTGTAAGTGATGATGTTTCCTAGTATTTTTTAATGATTTGATATATGTATATGCACATACTCGTACATATTCATATATATATATACATATAATCATAGATTTCTACTCGAAGAAATATCTCCGCCATGATGTTTTACAATCCCATGATCCCACTGTCGCAATCAGCCACATAGCTATGAGATTGCCAGGGGCCATGAACCAATGTTCAATTAATATGCCATGAATATTCCAATAACAGCCCATCAATATTCCAGTCATATTCATTAAAAAAACAGATTTATTTATGTTCCATTCATATTCCAATCATATCACTTTCTTGTATTTTCACATCCCTCCCATTGTTTTTTGGTCGTCAGGTTCCCTGCAGCCCTGGGGTGACAGCCTCACCGGTGGCAGCTTACCGGCCTCGGTTTCCTCGCTGTCCTCGGTGTCCGTGAGGGCGGTGGTCGGCAGCCATAGCGCCTTCGCGGCGCTGGTGGATGGCAAAGTGGTCACCTGGGGCTCACCACATGCGGGAGGAGACAGCCACCTGGCAAATTGTGTTGGAAATGTCGGACATCTTTGGGACTGAAGTGACTGAAGGTGATTTTTGGGTGACTTTTTGGGGAAAATATGGCTTTTGGGGGGTCGAAAGCTGGGGATTACCATATTTTTGTGGGGAATGAAGATCCAGAGGAAGCAGCTACTCTTAGAGCATGCTCATGTGAACAAAAGGATACTGGTGTTTTGACCTACAGCTGATGGGAAGGTGAATGTAAGTTGGATGAAAACTCATGGATATTGTCTGAAAATCCTATGGTTGATTCATCAGTTTCTCATTAAACATCTCATCTGGGGGAACCTCCCCCATGCTTGGGCACACCCAGACACGGAAAATGGACGATGAATGGAAACACATATGAAAATGATTTTGGAAACTGGATGAAGGTAGGTGGAAAGGGAAGTTTCATCGATTTTTTTTGGTATGTGAATCGATAGCTATCTACTGCGAAATCTGTGGGAAGATGATGGAATTCAGTGTCATTTGGTGCTTGGAAAATCCCATGAAAAAACTGGACGGTTCGGGATGATCCAGAAAACTCCGGCTGCAAAGCGATGTGAAAACCAGCCATGGGTTATAGTTATGTAATCACTTACTCATCTTTGTTCAGTATATTGATATCATACTGTGTATATCATATGTGCCTTTTTTGATCCTTTATATCTAAATAAATAAAAAATATATATATATATACACACCAAGTGTTTGTTGAAGTCTTGATCAATCTTCCAAATTCGTTGTTGCTCCCATCCCTGTTCCCGTCTTCCCTGTTTCCCAGTTCCCGAGGCGAAGCCGTGCAAGGTGAGTTGACAGATGTGCGGGATGTCTATGCCACGCACTCCTCCTTTGCCGCAGTGAAGCAGGCGCCCAGTCCGACTGGGGGATATCGTCATCGATCCATGCAGGAACGACGCATGTCCTCATGAGTGATTTCATGCCATGTCGAAGCAGAGCCTTAATGACGCTGCTTTGGGTTCGTAGCAAAATGAAAAACAGATAAAAACCGTGCGGATGGGTAATCTATAGCGACCTCTCTTTAGTATGTTTTGTAATTCTTACCCTCTGGTAATCAAATATGGCTGCCTGGAAAATCATCGAACTAATTATGGTGGTCTAAAAGGGAACCTCATCTGTAAATGCTAAGCCATGTTTGATTCATGGAGGGTAATGATGTTTTTTGGGAATGGATGCAATGGCAATCATCCCAAAATGGTCTCAGTATGTCTCAGTTTTAGTTTCAATTTGGGAATCAGTATTCATATTTCCGGAGGTTACCATCAAAGCAAATAAATAATACTGAGCACCCCTTGCCCTCGGCAGGACGGAAGTGTGGTGACCTGGGGTGCATGGTATGCTGGAGGTGACAGTACCTTGGAGGTTTTAGACCACTGGATGGAATGGCGGATTCCCCGAAATCTGTAGACAAACCCCAAAACAAAACCCCAGGTGATTGATGCTGGTGTTCCCTTCAAGATCGGGCTCACATTAGCAAGATCTGCTGAGCCATGTAATGTCAGTGGCTGATTCCCTAGACGTGGGTGTGTGAGATATACCTGGACTGCCAGATGTTGGGCAATGTTGGTTTCCTGATTGACAAGTAACTTTGCCCAAAAGTTGGATACCCACAGCCAATGGCTTATCATTATTTTCCACATTGAACTGGTAACCTTGTGGTGTGCATTCAGTGCCCCAAGGAATGAATGATTCGGAATGGTGTGTTTTATCAAGGATTTGGGATGGTGTTGCGACAATTCAAGGGTGTTGAAAGGTCACATAAATATATGGCTCCATGTATTGTATTGTATTGTATCGTATCGTATCGTATCGTATTGTATTGTATGTATGTATGTGTATATATATATATACATAGATATGTGTATATATATAATTTAGATATGTCCATATAATGTATATACTCAAATTTATATTATGGCATAGCTTATACCATCAAGGATAATTGGGCTGTAGTAACTATCCGATGACTAGGCCCCTGCGACTGACCTCTGGCCTTGGGTTTCTCTTCAAAGGGTTTAGGCCGAATATACAGTTTCAGCTGGGAAAAATGATGATCCAACATAATCATTACATATATATATATATATAATGTTATTTTGGGGTCTCCTAATTTTTGATTTTGGTTGGACGAACCCTGAAGGGGTTAACTAACCCAAAATGGGTATAGAACTTGCAAAAATGAAAATAAAAATGTAACAATGTAGTTCAACATGTCTTGTCCAACCAAAATGATGATATGCCAGAAATAAACAAGGTTGCAACTGCTTATATATATATATACAAATAGGGGATTGCCTGGAGTTGATTGGGTGCGTCGAAATTTTGAGCTGAAGGTGGCCCACCATTGCTGATTCATAGACAGAGTTAGTCTGCAAGTCCATCCCAATTTTTACTAATACTTTGGGCAGTGGCTAACTGGTTGGTGCTTTGGAACATGAATTTTATTTTTCCATATTTTGGGAAGTTCATAATCCCAACTGACGAACTCATGTTTTTCAGAGGGGTAGGTACACCACCAACCAGCTAAACTACCAATCATTTCCTACATCCACCTTTTTTGTCATGATTTCCCCAGGTGGATCAAACCAGCCACTAGGTAAACTTGGGTCAGGGGATTAGTCCATACCTTGTTTGCATCAGCATCATCATCATCATCAGCCTTAGAATGATGTTGGTGAACGGCCTCCATTTGTTTTTTTCTTCGCAACAACAATACGTCTCCTGTGCTCTACCAGCTTCCCAAAAGCTCAGGCACTGCAGTGCGAGATCAGTTGCAGGACGTCACGAAGATTTTCAGTTCTTCCGTCGCCTTTGCTGCGCTCAAGAAGGCGTCCGAGCAGGGCATTGCAGGGCTGAAGCAGCAACGCATGGGGAGACGACCAGAGAAATCCAAACGAAATGATGTCTTTGCTGCAGATTGAAAATGGGAAGTTCATTGATTGAGACAAAAAAGAACATCCTACTGGTATGTGATATTATGATAAATCCCAGCAAAAGTGGAGATACCAGTAGCCGACGATAAACTACCAGCATGTGCCAAAATGGGAATTGCATCATGTAGCCTCCTGAGAAAGGCATGTGTGTCTTTTGGAGATTGCCATGTTCCATCTCAAGTTTCGCTTGGGCATCAGCAGGCTGAGAACTGGTGCTATTCATCCCAAGGCCGATGATTCAATCTCCATGTGTTGATGAAACCATAATTCTTCCCAAATGATGGTTCAATATTGGTTTAATCCCAAATTCTTTGATTCATGTGTTGATAAATCCCAAATTGTTGCTGGGTTAAGTCCCCCAGTCCCTGTTTTGCTGATGGTTTTTCCCCAACGTTCGATGCTTCAAACCACGTCCGATGCTTCAAGTTACGTTCCAGCTGTTTGGTATGTTTTCCATCTTTATATTTGGATTGTGAAAAATTGGTTTGTGAAAAGATGTATTGTTATGTATTTCAAATATAACCTCAAATACATATTATGTCATGCTTATGTCATGGTTATGTCATGGTGTCATGATTATGTCCCCATTTGGGATGGTTATCACGCTTACCCTCTGGTAAACGTTACAGTTTGCGAACTGGAAAATCACCATGTTTCTAATGGGTAAATCATGTAAATCCACTATTTCCATGGCCATTTTCAATAGCTTTTTGTATGTTTACCAGATAGTAAGTCCCAGGTTGCTGTCCCCATGGCATCGTGAGGACGGCTCAGTGGTGACCTGGGGCATGCCTCGCGGCGGCGGCGACAGCCGAAAGGTCCAGGCCCAACGAAACGGCACCGGGGGAGGGAAAGTCATGGGAGAAAGTCATGGGAAAGTGCAGGGAAACTTCGGAAAAAATCATGGGATCCGAAAAACGTCTTCTGAAAATGTCATGATATGATATGAAATGGTCATTTCCCGTGGAAATTTCCGGTCATTTCCCATGGCATTTCTGGGTGTCTCGGCATTTTCGCCAGGCACAGCTGTCGGAGGTGCTGGAGATCTACTCCACGGACTATGCCTTTGCGGCACTGACGCGAAGCCGCCGCGTGGTCTGCTGGGGCGATACGGAGCACGGCGGCGAGGTGCCCAGTTCACTGGAAGAGACGCGGTGAGGGAAAACCGGGGGCTGGGGATGTTTGATGGGATATATGATAATATATATATATATACATATTTACATATACATATATATATATATGTGTGTGTGTGTCTGTGTAATATCAATAGATATGTATATATATATGTGTGTATATGTATGTATGTATGTATATGTGTATGTATATATGTATAGTACTGTAACCCCAAAAAAATAGAAAAGTACAGTATCACTACAGGATTTGACATTCCCATCTTTTTGGGGCTGCTATATCAGCATGATGTGGATTTGACCATCAACGATATAATATGGGTTTAATTGGATGTTTCATGTATATATATATATATCATACACATGGATTCATAAAGGCGATGTTTTATGGGATATTAAAATAAATGTGATCCTTGGTATGTCTGAAATCGTTTTTTCCCATCAAATGTCATCATCTTAATTTATGGGAAAACCGCTGATAAACTCTTGGATTTTGAAAAGCCTATTTTCAAACAAAGCAATGTAACCCTGGAAAATGGTGTTTGTAAACTTACCATTTATCAGAATCTGGGTGGCTGTCATGACGACTGTCCGAAAATAGACGATACTGTACCCTGAACCCCCCTGGTATCAGGCCCGAACGTCCTGCCCAGAATATATATAGATGTGAACCATGAGCCTGCATTGGGGCTTGAGTCCAAATTGGTGTATAGGGTCGCGGTGGAAAAAACCGGGACTCCCAGTGATCGGGTAGTACGAGTCTCTTACTGCAACATGTCAACCATGCTCTAGGAGTCGTAGGTAGTAGGAAATTTGTACGGTCGCTAAGTTTATTCACCGTCTCGTCCGGCTTGCGGTTTTAACTGTGTTGCGGGTTGTCCCGGTGTTGATGAAACCACCAACCACTAGTTCAAGGTCCCACCCGAAAAGCATGGGCATATCTATGGTTACATCCTTATTTGGTTCCTTAAATCTCCCCCTGTTGATGGTTGAATCTCTATTGTTGTTGTATCAATCGTGGTGAAGTCCTAACTTTTGATGATAAAATCCACATTGCCATTGGTGAAATGACAGTTTTTTATAGCTGAATCCTCATGGTCGTTGCTTACATCCCAAGAAATTGGCGAAGTAAATCCCCAAGTTTCTTGGTGAAATCCCTCGGTTCGCTCCCAAAATCCCCATCGTTTCCAGCATTTTTCAGGCCCAAAATCCGCAGTTCCCAGGATAGCTTGGTCGACATTCACCACCTCAGCAGCAACGATGGCGCCTTCTGCGCCGTGACCTGCGAGGGTCGCATGGTCTGCTGGGGGGATCTGCCAGTGGTCGGGCAGCCCTGGGAGGAGCTGACACAGGTGGTGGAGGTCTTCGCCTGTGAGGGAGACTTGGCAGCAGGATGGGAGGAAGTCGTGGAAGCAACAAGAGAGGTATCAGATGTATCATGAAGTGGAGATTCTTGGGCAATTTTTGGGAGTTCACAACCAAAAAAATGGCACAATAATTGAATTTTCTGGGAAATGGAGAGAATTTTGGGGTTAACCGGCAACATTGGGGGTTTAACATGGTTTCACCATCATTGGTTTGGGGGTTAACCATCAAAAATCGGGGGATGTAGTTGATGAATGATCAACTGGGTAGTTGGACCAAGAAAAGATTGGGATTTGATAGGATCTGAAGGGGAAAGCGATTGGTGACCGATAGTTATGATATGTTTATATAATATATATTTTTATGTTTGTGCGGCACAGCTTTTATAGTATTTTGCCATGTTGAGGGATGTAGATATAAATGGTGAGTTTTCCACGAACCAGCTACAAAAATTGGAAGATCTGGGAGTATCTGATAGGATCGGAGAAAAATTGTGTCACTGGGTTGCTCTGGGGAAAGCAAGTCTTCCCAGCCCGGCCTGTGGTGGTTTCCTATGGATTTTCCCAGAAAGTTTTCATAAGGGGTTTCGGGTACAAAAATACACCCTGGCTGATGTACATAGACACTTTTCAGTAATTTGCCTGGGAAGATCATTACCAGCAACACATGGGAAGGTGCTACACCCAAATCAACCGAGAAAATATGGTGGGGGATCTGATAGGATCTGATTGGGGGAATGGACACTGAACTGCTGGCTGGTGCCTTTACCCCATAAAAATTGCCAAGCATATGATGATCCCTTTTTTTTTGATATACTTGATGAGTTGAAACTACCAGACTGAGGCCCAAACCAAAAAAAAGACCCTAACATGTCATAAGCTTCGAATACCAAACAAAATGGTTCATGTTTAGGACTGGAATTATGAAACCATCCAATTAAGGAGTTGACAAGTTTCACACATCCCTATATATCTGAGATCTTTCATTGCCATGTTAAACCAGTTGCTACCCCCGTCAACACTCAAACAGCAACAGCCAAGGTTCAGTGGCTGCCCTGTGTGCGGATGGCCATGTGGTTTCATGGGGCGCCTGTGACAGCAGCAAAATCAAGGACCTCCTTCCTGGGTCTGAAAAAAAGGTACGCCCCAAAGTGAGGTCTTTTTTCGTGCGAAATATCTGGAAATATGATGAAATATGAAGTCTTCAACCATCAAGTTCTTGGTGTAGCGCATGTTCAGCATGTCAACTGACCCAACTGTGGCATGAAATCAAGAAAACTCTGGTATTGTGAATTGATCAACCGACAATCGAGGAAAAATCAAAGATGGGAAGCCAAAAGCCGGCAATCATTCGAGTTGTCCAGCCACTGAAAACTGCACAAACGTAGAAGGACCATGAAGGACCCCCCGTGTCCAAACTAGGACCTAGGACTCTCATTTTCCGGGCTTCATAAAGCTTATTGACCTTCAAAAATGTATCATTTCAGATCTCAAGAAATGGCAACGATTGGTACTGCTTTGATTTGACCATTACCCATCCAGTTCTATGATGTAATTGATTGTAATTGTGACAAGACTTCAAGGATTTACATTCCAGCTGTGACATATCAACTCTCAAGCATAACAATGTTTAATCCCTTCCCAATCTTAAACACCCCCAAGAAACCGTGATTCGGTAGGGAAAGGACACTTGATTTGGGACCATACAAACGGAGGTGTAGCTGATATTAAGATATATTAAGAGTGATTATGGGATGACTCACAAAAAACACCTTGCTGCGGTGCTGCGGTGCCTCCGCTTGCTCCGCGGTAGCAGGATCAACTGACCGACGTGCAGCGGGTCTTTTCGTCGACCCTGGCCTTCGCAGCTCTAAAAGGTGACGGCTCAGTGGTCGCCTGGGGTCCGTGGTATGCTGGTGGTGATGCCAGCAACGTACAGGACCTGGAGATGGTGGATGGGATGGGCCCAATGTGGCAACGGCAAAAATGTGGGACTGGTGAAGATGAATCAGTATTTAATCAGTATATCTCAACATCAATTGATATTCATAGCTTTTCTATCTCAACATGATGGGATATTTTTTAGATATTCAATCTATTTTCAATCTCATCAATGGATATCAACGTAATTTGTTCATGAAGAGTTGGAAGTATCTTAACATATCGATGAAGGCGGGGTGTGGCCAGGCTTGACCCTGGCGGGCGCGGTTACCCTCTGGTAGTGCAACATGGCTGGCGGAAAAAAAAAAAGAACAAAGAGTTTGATGAATTTCCTATGAAAACCCATTAAAACTAGGATTTTCAATTGCCACGTTTGATTACCAGGGGGTAATTATTCCCAATATAGAAAGCAGGTTGAATGGTGGTTTCATGGGAATTCTGGACTGAACATAGCTTGGGAATCACGACATCAACATCATCCACCACTAGAATCACTAGAACCAAACCACAGTTCTGAGATAGTCAGGATATGTCAGGATCACTTGAACCAACCGGGCAAAGGTTCTGAGTCGGCCAAAAGGGAAGCAAATTCACCATGGCAGCAGGAAGTCGCCGAGGCGCCGATTTCAAAAAGATCCGTTGCTCCGAGCATTTTGGCCATCCAATACACTCCACCAGGCAATGTCGAACAGCGCCGACAGCTACTTTATGCTACTAGTATTACCCTCTGGTGAACGTTTACATAACTACGGAACATCACCATTCTTAATGGGTAAATCAGCGAACTAAATGGCCATTTTCAATAGCTATGTTTGTTTACCAGAGGGTATCTAGTATTTGGGGATGATATGGTCAACCCATTTATGGTAAAGCTTTGGGGACGGTCCGTGGCTTTGGCTCTTCCACATAATGCGATTATGGAATTATATACACATTACAAACCATTGATAACCCTTTGATTGAGGAGTCTTCAAAACCCTTTGTCTTTGCATTATACTGGTTGGCTGATAAGGGTTCCCATAATGAAATATGATCATCCCTGATACCTTGGGCAGTATAACCCCCTGTAATCATCAACCAACAGGGGTTGAACGCAGCCACTCCTTAATTGATTTGGTTCACCAATAATGGTTGGATATGTCCACTAGCCGATGAATAAATTAACCATAGCTGATATATGTGTATACAAATAGCCAACATCAGCTGCGGTGCATTATACAGTGCATTAATCAGTTCATATCGATATATATATATATATATATATACGCATATACATAAATATATCTTGTAGATAATATACATACATATATATATATACATACACATATACTGTATACATACAACTTATATATATATATATACATAGTATGTATTGACAGCCCATCCGTTGATTTATTGCTCCAGGATCAACTGGTGGAGGTTGGTGACATCTGCTGCAGCCACATGGCCTTCGCGGCCCTGCGCCGAGACGGCCGCGTCGTCGCCTGGGGAAGTCCCAAGCACGGCGGAGATGCCTCCGAGGTGCAGGAGCGACCGGCGAAAAGTGGTACTGGTTATGGTTGGGGATTATTACTATTAGTAATATTACCCATAATAGTGATAGTAGTAATAGTAATACTAATAATAATGATAACCCATAGTAGAAAGATAGATAGATTGATAGATTGATTGATTGGTAGATAAATATATATATACACACCCTCTGGTTATTAACGTAGCCATGGAAAACCATCATGTTTATTAGGTAAATCATCATAATGCATCTATAAATGGCTTCTTTTCTATGGCTATGTTAAATAACTAGTGTGTACAGATTAGATAGATAGATAGATCGATCGATAGATAGATCGATAGATCGATAGATAGATAGATAGATCGATCGATGGATAGATAGGTAGACAGATAGACAGATAGATAGATAGATCGCTGGATAGATAGATCGATGGATATATAGATAGATAGACAGATAGATAGATGATAGATAGACAGATAGATCGATGAATGGATAGATAGACAGATTTATAGATAAATAGATCGATGGATAGATAGATAGGTAGACAGATAGATAGATAGATCGATGGATAGATAGATAGATAGATCACTGGATAGATAGACAGATAGATAGACAGATAGATAAATAGATCGATGGATAGATAGATAGATAGATTCATAGATAGGTAGATCGATGGATAGATAGATAGACAGACAGACAGATAGATAGATAGATAGATAAATCGATAGATAGATAGATAGACAGACAGACAGACAGGTATATGGATAGATAGATAGATCGATAGATAGATAGATCGATGGATAGGTAGATCGATGGACAGACAGATAGACAGATAGATAGATAGACAGATAGATAGATAGATCGATGGATAGATAGATAGACCGATCGATGGATAGATAGATAGACCGATCGATGGATAGATAGATAGAGAGATAGATAGATAGATAGATGGATAGATGGATACATAGACAGATAGATCGATAGATAGATAGACAGTTCGATAGATTAGATTAGATTAGATAGATAGATAGATGGATAGATAGATAGATAGATAGATAAATCGATAGATAGATAGATCGATCGATCGATAGACAGATAGATGGAGAGCTCGATGAATAGATAGAGATAGATAGAGATAGATAGAGATAAATAGAGATAGATAGAGATAGATATAGATAGATATAGATAGATAGAGATAGATAGAGATAAATAGGCATAGAGATAGATAGATAGATATAGATAGATATTCATAGATATAGATAGATATAGATAGATATAGATGGATATAGATAGATTTAGATAGATTTAGATACATATAGATAGATATAGATATATAGGATAGGGTAGGATAGGATAGGGTAGGATAGGATAGGGTAGGATAGGATAGGGCAGGATAGGACAGGATAGATAGATAGATCGATCGGTAGATAGATAGACAGATAGTTAGATAGATCGATCGATAGATAGATAGACAGATAGTTAGATAGATCGATAGATAGATAGATAGACAGATAGTTAGATAGATAGATAGATAGACAGATAGATAGTCAGATAGATAGGTAGGTATGTATGTATGTATATCAACCGTTTTTTTTGTGAGATGGGATTGTAAATCAACATATTGGGGATTGGTCACTCTTTTTTCGCAGGGATTTGTATAGCCAGTGTGAGGATTCTCATTATGGAATGACCATAAACCATTTACATATAGTATTATTATTGGTTTACTACATGGATAACCATTATGGATTCCATATAGTATTCCATATAATGACACATAGTATACCATATACCATTATTGTATATTACACATACATATGTATTATTTTCTGATAAGGCATGGTCATCCCATAGGGACTACTGCTTGCTATAATGAGGCATCAATGGCATTGTTGTTGTCCCAGATTTCAATCCACACAGCCATACAACTTGGTGAAATCTTCGTTTTACATCATGTTTGTCCGCAAAAGAAAATCCTATATAAATGTCATGGATTTGTATATTTTTCGATGCTAAAAAGAATACCAGAGCTGAATTGTCCATTTCCCCAGATGAGTCTTGATGAAATCCCCAATTTTCCAGGCGATAAAAGATGTTTTCTAGGTGAAATCAGCATGTTCCATCACTTTTCCCATGGTTTCATCATGTTTCATCCAATTTGTCCCATGTTTTCCCTGGAGTTCTCCATCCAAAAAAAAACATCCCCATCCGGTGCAGGAGCAGCTCCGTGACGTCCAGCTGCTGCGTTCCACTGAGGCCGCCTTTGCGGCGCTGACGGCGGAGGGAACGGTGGTGGCCTGGGGCATGGCAGGGGCTGGCGGCCACGTGCCGCAGAGGGTGAAGGCGCCTTTTCTGGGGGAGAAAGTGGCCAAACTGGGAGAATTTGGTGAGAAGATGTGTGTGTTTTTTTGGGATGGCGAAGGTTGGAATGGTGGTAAATATCTGGATTCTACTATTTTTGAAGAATGATGAATTTAGTCGTTTTATGTTGAAAAGATTCGATGAAAGACAATGAACCAGACCCCAATCACCCAATTTTGCCAGAAATGGGAGGAATCAAAATTACTACCCAACTGAATTGTTATCAGTGGATTTCCCTGACTTCACCCATTTTATGGGGATTTTTTCGGAGATCTAAGCGTTTCTGGTGGTGGTAAAACATGGTAAAACCAACAAGACACTGGGAGAAATACGATGGGAGTTCAGCAGGCAGACATCCGGGCTGTGCTGTTCCACGCTGTTTGTTTCTGACTGGGGAAGCCATGGTTCTCTATATACCTGTATAACATCCGGTGATCAAACAGGACAGCCAGTTGATTTTTTTGTATATATAGAGGTTTTAAACGTTTTTTTCATGGGAAGAACATCTACAAATGGGAGATATTCCATTGCCATGTTTGCTTTCGGAGGGTATGTGACTAATTCAAGGTGGGTTGTGGCACTCATGGCCCCATGCAGAACGGTGGATGGTTTTTTCCCCAGGATAAGCTTGGATTTTGCTTCACCTATGTTAACATCACATGGTTTGGCCCTATATTTCTCTAGCTTAAATAAAGTTATATATACTGTACTGTATTATATGTGTACATAGTATATACATATATCATATATACATATATCATATATATATACTATGTTATATTAATATTATATATATATGTATGTGCTACAGAAGTTTGTTATTCCACTCTACAAACAGGTTCGATATGCTATAATATGTTTATCCCATTTTGGTCAGGACCCCTCATTGGTTTCGAAGACACAGGAGCTGCGCAATGTGCGCGAGATTTGTTGAGGCCGCTCTGTTTGAAGGGTATCCAAGGCTATCCAAGCCATGGTAAAACTAAGCTATTGGAAGATTGGACTGGGGATGACGTCGGATTACCTGAAGAATCAGGTTAGCGAAAATTTCCGTTGATGGCTGGGAGTTCTACTCGCATGTTGATTTGTCTAGCTGGGTTTTTTAAAGAATCAAATGCGCATGAACCAGAAAGTGGTTGAGGTTGCCAATCTTGAAACTGCCATTGCCACGGCAACATTCGGTTCAGTGTGGTAAACCCAATGGTACCCCTAGAATTGGGATGATGCTTTTAATGACCCCCAGTCATGCTTGGTTAGCGGGTTAATTTTAGAGGGTCTACCACATTAGTCGAGTTGTAACCCCATAAATTCTCTTGTTTTGTCCATGCAATTAGATGAATATAAAATGTTTGACAAATGTTCGATGTTTTCACATTGAAAAAAGGTGTTTCCACTCATTTGTGTAATGCGTCTTGTATTTATTCGAAACCTAAACCTTGTTTTCACCCAACTGTCATAGATCTTGCTATCATTCATCGTGCAAACGAAATTGCTCAGACCTCCCGGGGTCATTGCTCAACGGCTACAATTTGTAGACTCTGTCAGGCCCTTGGGCTTCGGAACATCAACTTTTTCATCTTAAAATAGGCGACAATACTGCCCTGCTTTTAAAAAAGATTGGTATCATAATTGAAAATATATGTATGTATATACTGTAATTATATATATAAAACCTTGGTCTCATCTTGTTCCCACCGATGGTCGGAGTTGTCCACGACCCACCGCGATCCCAAGGGGATCTCGCGCAGGCCCTTCTACGTGGCTCTGAATGGCTCGAAGTCAAGTGGCAATTTGTGCCGGTGATCCATCAATGGACATCATCCATCAATGGACATCAATTGAATCAAAGGAAATTGAAAAAATATGTTAACATGGTTCTATTATGATATATTAGTAGTTATAGTATGGTGTAGTTATAGATAATTATAGTATATTGATCATTCTTTATATATATATATATATACATATGCATACAGGCTGCATACATCAAAGATATACATCTGTAGGATCCAAATCGAGGGACCAAAGCCATAAACCTACCAGTTGGGGGGTTCAATCCCATGGTGAGTCCTTGGGGTCTATGTTTTTTTCCACGAGAGTGGATACGATGACTAACCATTTCTTGCCCCTGCACAAAAAAAGACCCACCGCTCAGCCAGTTTGCGGTCACCTTTCGACAAGCGAAGGTGGCAAGTGGCCACGCAAATGCATGTGCTTTGTCAGAGCTGCCAACCTTTGGGGCAAGACTGAGATTGAGATCATAAGATAGTTTTCTGCCGGGAAATCCTTTGTTTTGGATTTGTTTTTGGATCCTATGTTCATTTTGGTTGAGAGGTTCATGTTTTCTGCGTCCTATCAACTATTTTGTGTGATTGTCCGTGTTGACCAGCATGTTCTTTGGGTGTGCCAGCCGCCAATCACTATTGCAAAATGCAAACGAATGGGTTTCATGATTTCATGACCGAAATTGCACATGTCACCATTCTTTGCGGGCCATGTCACTGTTCGATTTGCTCGGGCTTGGTGTGTCTTTATCTCCCGAGACCGGGTTGATGGGGATTGTTTTTGTCTATTGTTATATTATGAGGATGGCATGATGGGATTATGGTTGTGTTTCATCCCTGGCTGTTTCGAGCACCCAATCTTAGCTCTGGCGTTCCTGGTGCCGGTGCCGAGTTTTAGTTTCAAGGGCGTGGGAATCTGCCATGCCATCGGTGAAAATAAGCCGAAAACAACGGTCTGCGCCACGCGACTATGCATGACCGTGGAAACGTCTTGACGTGACCCCGGCGAATCCGACTGTAGTAGCTGGGCCATGGGAAGTGCGTGTGCAGCGACCAAAGCGAAGCAATGCAACCTTCGCATTCAAAAAAAGCGCCAACAGCTGCCATATGTTTGGGGATGATGGGGATGGTTTAGAAACAGGTCTTGTATGGTCTCGTTGGTCATGTGTATGCGTATTATGTGTATATATATATATATACATATATATGTACAATCATTATACAACTATATATATATATATATTTATACATACATATTGCAAATATCGATATGGCTGTATACAATCATACCCATGTTGTTTGACATGATTACACCTCCGTCCTGCTTGTTTCGTGTTTCGGGCGCTCCACGAACCAGCCCCTTTTTTGGAGAAATGTTCTCTTTTTCATGGTGAAATCCCCATGTTCCCCTGTGTTTTTCGCACCATTTTCCATGCAAAAAAAAAGTGTGGCCTACTTGCAGCTGAAAAACCTCTGGCAGATGGTGGAATGCCCGCCTGGCTTCGATCAACCCTGCTGTAGCGTCTCTTGGAGCTGAGCAAAACGTAGCCCATGTTTTCCCAAAGTGGAGGAAGATGAGATTGGCACACCTGGAAATGGCCATAAATGTAGGGTAAATCGGCAATTCTGCACAGAGATCCCAAACTGGCTTGGAAGAAGTATTGAGAGGAGTTCATCAGCCATTCTATGTGCATCGAATCAGAAAATTACCCAGGAGGAATGGATTGAATGGGTCAATGGATTGGGATGTTCTTTATGATTTTTGTCAATGAATGTAGAGGTTTCCTGCAAATCTACCGAACTGGATTCTGGAACTGGCTCTGCCTGTTGGAATCTTGGAAACCTCTTCATCCGACGATAAAAATTCCAGTTGACAGCAATCAAAAGTGGGTCTTTGATAGTTTTTGACTGACAAAAATGCAAAAGAAATCAACAATCATACGTTGCTGCGTGATTGAAATGCGTGTTTTTTTCTCTTTATCCCTGAAGATGTGAAGAACATATGTTCCTACCCTACTTGGGGAAAAAACAACTAAGCCCAGTTCACCCACTATACCTACGTGCGGGCGGGCGAGCAGACATGCATAGGTACAAATACACATGGATACATAGATAATCATAGGTAAATATAGACATACAGACATACAGACATACATGTGAGTGATTTCCTACGACGAGGGCCCAAAATCATCCAAAAAATTGTCATGCTCAATAGGGAAACCAGCGTTTTCGTGGTCCGCCATTTTAAACAAGTTACAAAACCTCCATACATCTACACAAATGTTGTATGTAAGTACATAATAGATATATGTATGTACACATATACATATATACATATATACATATATACATATATACATATATACATATATATATACATATACACATATATATATACATAAACATATATACATATAAACATATATACATATACATATATACATATATACATATATACATATATACATATATACATATATACATATACATATTTACATATATACATATATACTTGTATACATATGTACATATATACATTTATACATATATACATATATACATATATACATATATACATATATACATATGTACATATATACATTTATACATATATATACATATATACATATATACATATATACATATATACATATATACATATATACTCATACACATACACATACACCTACCTGCCTACCTACATACATACATACGTACATACATACAAAATCATTTGTACAGATATAGATATAGATATGCATATAGATATAGACATACAGATACAGATACATACATTTTTTTTAAGGGATGTACAATGGGTGTAACCACAATGCCTCCAGAGTCCTGAGGCCTTAGGTTGGTGTGGCAGATCGGGAGATCACTGTCACTAGGTGTTGGAGATGGCTGTTTGGGTGGGGAAAATGACGACGAAAAAAGGGGTTCTTAAAATGGGAGATCCCCAGAAGCATGGGTTTCAACACTAAATATGCACTAAAATTTGGATGATTTGGGGGGTACCCGCTGGAAAATTGCCATTTATAGTTGATTTAGCCATTAAAAGTTGTGATGTTCCATATGTTAGTTTATGAAAGGCTACCACATTTTCGGAGAGACATATATCACTCAAATATACGGAAAAGGACCGATATTATTGATTTCTTGAAGAATTTAGAGGTGTCTTGAATTTGGGCAGGCATCTCACACTGGAAGTGTTCATAGCATGACCCTGGATCATGGTGTTTGTAGTTGTTCATCATAGTGAAGAAATATGCAGTCCTATTGTGGATTTATCAGGCGTGAGAACTGAAGTTCTTGTCTAGTCTTTGACTTGAAGGCCAATATGTGGCTTCGCTCTATATTTTTCGTGTTGAAGAGGACATGTCAGAGATGAAACGTCTCTCCCTTTCAGAAGTCGACTGTTCTGGCACCAAAGATTGACCCAAGCGGGTTGCAAACTCACAATTTCACTAGTTCAAACAGTCGTCACTCCTCCATGGCGCAGCCACTCAAATTGGTGGCTGCTGGGTGATTCTTCAAAGGGGCCATGACATGATTTTTGGGTGGAGGAATTTTCGTATATTTATGGCATATCTCATGGGGTAGAGATTAGGGAATGTGATCCCTGTACCGGGGACCACCATTCCACAGTTGCACCTCTATATTGGAACTGCTTCAAAATGTTTCCCCTAGAAACATGATGATAGCTCAATGGTGCAAATGACGAACTGTTCCACATGGATATGGGTAAAGATCGTCCTCATCTCTGGATCCTTGACCTACCCAAATAGAGCCCAGACAGAGACGTGGTGGTTTCTTTGATCCTGTTGGCGCTAGTTGTAATCCCGGGTTCTTGTGTTGCTGCATACCATGGCCGGCTCTAAACAGAAACCTCCCTTGGCAGATCAATATGATTGCCTGAGGCAAATGCGAGATGTGCTCTGACTATCGCTACAAAGCCAATGTGGCCTGGTCACAGGAGGGAGCTGGTGGAGATATTGTCAGAATCATGGAAGAACCACATTGATCCAAATTGGGCATTTCAACCTTTGGGTTTCCTCTCTGTTTTTGAGTTGATGAATTTATGATAATTTATACATAGCTAGTGTTTTGCGTCTTCTTTGTCGTACTACGCAGACAAGCAGGTACCAAGGCTGGCATTTTCAGGATGCAATCCCGGATTCATCATGAGCTGCCTTTTGTCCATGTGACTGTGGCAGCCTTGCTCTGTTGATGCAGGTGGCTCCCGATTTTTGGGGGTTGTAGATGGTGCCTCTTTTTAAAAAGTAGAGCCCCCAATGCCTTGATTCATGACGCTGCCTGTGAGCAACAAGAAAAACAAGTTATATAAGTCACTTTGGTAAGTTCGCAGAAGTCATCGGGAATTGAGAACTACTGAGGTCACCTTTCTGGGTATGAAGTTGAAGAAAGCCAAGCGCGAATGCGAAACCATCGCAGCTGATCTGGGGCCATTCTCAACCCCTGAGGCCAGGTCGGCGCAAGCCCCATGAGCGATCTGATCCCCGAAATTTTCACGATGGAGCTCCCGAAATGGCAAGATCTGCAGATAAATCATGATATATCCTCTTCCAGGCCGCATAGATTTAGAGGGTCCACCTTCGATTTTGGGTCTAAAAATCCTATCACCCTGGCCAGGAGTGTGCGAGGACGGCGGCCAACGACGGAGAGTGTGGCTGGCAACGTTGGGTTTTTTTAGCCATCTCCTGGGATGTGCATCGTAAGTGGCTAATAACATCTAATAACCGTATTATGATTACGACTTATAACATCTTATCACCATTTCTAGGCTATAGCCCACTTGTTTTTGTTGGTTATAAGTTCCTAAATGGGATGCACTGTCGTTGTGTGAGATTCCAGATATCTCGTGAAGCATCCCAAGTTGACTCGAAAGATGACAGGTTGGTGAATTGTTGGTTGAATCCAGATATCATATCTCTTGAAAAAATCCCTACAACCATGGTGAATGATGACATTGTCATGATATATGATTGACCAAACATGGTCTTAGAATGTGGTTATTCGTTCTGCTGGTCATTCGGTTTCATAGGGTTTATACCAACCGAGGGGGCGGGGATCATGGTGACCAACCGGAGGAAGGTTGTCTTTGTTGTTTGGGGGCGACCATGTGGAGAAAGAATAAATTGCTACAGGAAATCATGCTTGTTGATTGGGCTATTGCCGTTTATATTAACGTTTATGAGGTGTGGCTTTGGATGAGCCTCTGAATGGACAGCCAAGATCTGGTGGTTTCAAAAGCGTTTGCCTTCGACCTTTTACTTGCCCAATGAATATAGTAAAGCATAGTGAAGCCAATGATCAAAAATATTAAAAGCCCCCCCAATCTCACCATTTCAATGGGTAGGAACCAAGCGCCAGGTGTGGGAAGATGATCATGTTTTCCTTCAACTATCCCAACTGGGGCTGCAGATGTCGGGACTGCAGATGTGGGGGGCCGTTGAAAACTCCATCTTTTCCGGAAAAAATGGGGGAGCCATGGGGAGCCAAGGAGCTGCGAATTGAGGTTTACCCCATGATCCATTATCCCTATAGGCCCTATATGGTAGTACAATCCCCACATGTTCCAGTGATCATCAATTCTCCCACGCAGAAAATTATCCCTCCAGAGAGAAGTTGGATGAACTGTGTCTTTTTTGAGGCTAAAAGAACAGTTTCCAATAGCATCATGGTATACATGGTGGAGTGTAAGCCACAGATGCAGGGAGTTGCGACATGTAGCACGTATGGTTGGTTACTGGTTGCGTTTTCCGCAGGTTGTGCCATCGACACTCCCGAAGGAGACGAAGTCTGGAAGCCCAAGACAATTAGCCCCTCCAGTTGTAACCATGGCTAGTGGTGAGGAAATGGGCCAAGTTCACCCAGTAATGGGAGAAACCTTTTGAAGGGTGACAAAAACCATCAGGAATGGGGACTGGTAACCAGGCTTGTTAACCAGTTGTTTTTGAGATCCGTGATGATGATCCTTGAAGTAGAGTCATGAAGCAGTTGATGGAATGACACTTGATACCTTAAATGTTTATAAATGTTTCAAAGGATGTATCATAAAATGGGTGGGTACCCCTAGTTATCATCTATATAGATGGATGTTCCATGAAATAAACCATCCAGCTATTGGAGATCCCCTATGGAAAAACTGCGGTTTAGACCCAGTGAGTTGAACCACAGAGAGACCTCTGGATGTTTAGAGTCGCTGCAAGTTCCTGTTGGTAATAAAGATGAATAGAAAAGAAAGTCATCACTTTTTCGGAATCAGATTTGACTTTTCTATCTTTGTGGGGATTGCTGTTTCTTAAATTTGAATTGATTGATTTGATATGATTTACCCATTTGATAAATGATAGGATTAGCAAATCCCCACTTATCATTGATCTTCCATTACTTGGTAAGATGAACGCCAGCCTTGAAGCCCATTCTTGGGGACCAGAGGTTATTGATGATTATACATATATCCATGGGATTCCAACCCCTATATATGATCAACCTTCAGCATGGCTAAGCATCTGCAAGTATAACTGGAACTGCACCCCCGAGTTTTTACAACTTTGGCTTTTACTGGACAAGGCCGTAGACAATTTGATTTTCCCGCCAAGGAAAAGGACGCATGGAATGTGCAGCTCCCAGATATCCACATCTCACCATGGAGGGTCGCCCTGAAAAACACCTATGGATAGATATCCTTTCCACCTGGCTGATAGGTGGAGGGGTAAATTTTATTCAACAACCAATAGGTTCAATATGTCAATGAAAATGCTATTGTCAGATGAAGCTCAACCCCAGCTCTTTTGCTGTGGAAGCCAGGCCTCCCGTTCTGTAAGCTGTGTTGCAAACGTGGACCCCATTGTTGAAATATTGGGCAATGCATTTCCAAAATGAATTGTTGATGTACATGTTGATGGCGTGTGTAAGCTGATATACCCACATGGGTGGTGATAGTATGAGAGACTGCCCGCTACCAGATGTGGGACAATTACCTTCCACACCGTCGCTCCGACTTCTCAGTGGTTGCAATCCCACTGATCAATGCTTAAACACTACTGATCGGTTTTGCTTAATCGTACCTGCAGCCTGGACATTGATGACACTGCTTTCCATTGAAATTTCTGTATGTGGATTGGAGCAGATCAAGCAGTTGCATCAAACTGACTTTCAGAAAGTGTGCACCAACTTGAAGTGAGCGATTGCTGGTGACCAATTCTTGATGGATCTTGAGGGACTTGGGATATTAAAATCAGTCCGGGCGCCTGGGCAAATGGCACCAGGTCTATGCCTACGAAGTGAAGGTGGGCGTGTTGCCACAAGTGCCAGGATGAACACCAGAGTGGAGCATCATGCCGATGGTTACTTGGATGAATGTTACCACTAAAATGGTCGGAAAAATGGTGAGTAAGAATGGGTAGTGCTTGAGAAGTCCGTAGAAATGAGCGATGGTGTGGTATGACTTTGCTGCTGAAGATTATGTTTCGTAAGGTTCCTACCTGCTTGTGACTCCCAAAAGTTTATTTTAAGGATGAAACCTAAAAATGGCTAGGTCCAGTAACCAGTAGAATCTTTTTGGGTCCAGATGACACCTTCCAGATTACATGTTGAAGTCTCTACGGTCTGGCACACTTTTTGACGATGAATGAAGCTTTGTGATGGTCATTGCGCCTCACTCTGTTCCCCCTGGCGTGGCTGTGGTTTGGCTGCGCATTCTGTCGTACCCCAGTGGAACAAAATGTGATTTTGAATGGAAAGTGTCATGAATGCTGAAATATGGTAAAATAATGTAAAATATGTTTATATAATTATATAGTTGATAAAATATTATACGAATGGCAATCCAAAGGTCATAACGGGTAATTATAATGACGATAAGTATTGATATTATATTATTGTCCCTCAAGAAAATGATTTTAATAATTTATTATCACGAAAGGTAGCTCCAGAGGGGCTACCTTGAGTTTTACTTTACGAAGTAAAGGGGAGGGCGGCCAGCCCCGTTACCTGATTCTTCAGGAGATTGCTAGTCATTTTAGTTCCCCCCCCCCTCCACACCTCCCACGCACCCTAAGAGCAGACTCAAAACATTGTAATTTACAGTATTTTTGTTCTTTTCGGATCAAGAAACCACATTTTGTTATATGGTGAAACATCCGTAAATACCAGTAACAACAACAACAACAACAACCAGAACGACAACAACAACAGCTGCAGGGGTAATACCAACACGACCACCAAGACCCACATCAACAGCAACAACAACGACAACAGCAGCAAAAATAACAACAATAACAACAAGAACAACACCAACAACACCACCAACAATAACAACAACAACAACCACAACCACAACCACAACCACAAGAACAACAACAACAACGACGACGACAACAACAGGACCAGCAACAACAACAACAACAGCAACAACAACAACAACAACAACAGCAACAACAGCAACAGCAACAATAACAACAACACCAACAACACCAACAGCAGCAACAACCACAAGAACAATAATAAGAACAACAACCAGTAACTACAATAACAATAACAACAACAACAACAACAACAACAACCACGACGACGACGACCACAACAACGACCACAACAACGACAACAACAACAACAACAGCAACAACAACGACAACGACAACGACAACGACAACAACAACAACAACAACCAACAACCAACAACCAACAACCAACAACCAACAACAACCAACAACAACCAACAACAACCAACGACAACGACAACAACAACAACAACGACAACGACAACGACAACAACAACGACAACGACAACGACCAGAACGACAATAACAAGAACACGAACAAGAACAACTGCGGGTGCGAAGGACCAGCTCTTTTCTTCGCTAATGGCTCATGAGCAACTGGTGTGTGTGTGGGGGTGTGTGTGTGTGTGTGCCAGTGCATATTGCGCGCAGCCTCGGGATCGAAATTTTCGAGCACATTG